ACTGTTAAATGAGAAACTATTTTGTTCTGTAAGCCTTCATCTTAAGTGAGAATAACAGCACAATTGGAAGAGCGTAGTCAATGTCACTGAATGTGCATGTAGAAATTTTTGAAATGGTGTATCTTTAGCTATGTGTATTTTTACCAAAAAAAACATTGAGAAGTTAGAAGGTTGACATGTTGTGGGGTTGTTAACCAATGTCATAAAACAATATGCGTACTACTGTTTCATGAGAAACTATTTGTTCTGTAAGCCTTCACCTGAAGTACAATAAAAAAAAGAAAAAGAAAAGAAAAAAAAAAGCCTTTGGCTCAGTAATTCCACTTGTTTGAAAGAACATGTAGGCCAATTCTGAGAACTACAAGTAAAGTAGTTGTTCTCAAAATTTATTATACATAAGAATCACCTGGGGATCTTATCAAACTATAGATTCTGATTCAATACATCTGGAGTGGAATCACTGCCATTGCCTGGGAACTTGTTGGAGATACAGATTCTCAGTGGGAGTTCAAACAGGAGTGAACCAGTTCGAAGCCCTGTTCTGAACCCTTTAACTAAAGTTATCCTTCTATTAAACAAAAACAAGCATCTCTCGAGACAATGGTACATTATTACTTGACAGCTGGGTGAAAAAAATTTTAAACTTTTAATTAAAAACAAATATAAAAAGTTTAAGGTAGGTATTTGCATGATAAAGTACAACATGTTAATGGTAGAATCTAAGTGATGGGTATATGGGTATTCACTGTAAAATTAGTTTAACTTTGTTGCATGTTTGACAATGTTCATAATACAATATTGAAGAAGAAAAAAGAACATGTAGATATTTACTGTAGTGTTTTAAATAGTGAGAAACAGGGACGGGCATTGGTTAAAGTAAGGTACATCTTACCATGGATCATTCTGCAGCCTCTAAAAATAATGTTATACAAGATGATTTAATATCATGAAGGAAATTGAATATACATATTCTAAGTTAGGAAAGCATGTTCAACAGAATACAGAATATATAGTATGGTTTTATTTTCTAATAAAATGTATGAATGCAGGGATGGACTCCACAAGAAAAATATGACATAAGTGCTGTATCTGAATGGTAGGACTGTTGGTGACATTTTTTCTTTGTGCTTTTCTATAATATTCTGTAATAAACTATTCTATGGTAAAATATTTCTTTAACATTCTATAATAAAGACATGTGCCCCAAAGTCTTCTCTCTAGAAGCTGTTACCTCTCTCCTTGCCCTCCTTCTCCTTCCTGTGGTCTCTTACCTGGCTGATTCCTCTGGTTACTTCACAGGGGACTAAAACCGGAAGACACCTACAGCAACAAGGACATGGAAGCAGCATTTGAAAAGGCCTCGCTGGACATGTTCAACAAGAAAACCAAAGCCTCCCTTTACCTCTCCACACACAATGGGAACATGTACACCTCATCCCTGTATGGGTGCCTGGCCTCGCTTCTTGCCCAGTGAGTACCATACCTGGCCGCACCTCCTATCCTCACACACTGAGGGGCAGCCAACGACATACTTCCTCTTCTGGTTCAGAATTTTAAAGAAAGAGAGACGAAGAGAATAAGAAGGGGGAAAGGGAGGAAGAAAAGAAGGAAGAAGGGAGGATGGAAGGAAGGAAGGAAGGGGAAAGAAACTTGTTTCAAAGGTATATTTATAGGTGAATTTATCTGCATTAAACAGTGGTCTCTAAAGTGAAGTTCATGTATGTCAAGGAGTGTGCAAGATCTATTTGGGTGCAGCAAGAAAATAGAACTTTTTTTTCATATTTTTATCACACCCATTTAAAATGTCTTTACTTAGTAGAGCATGGTGGTTAAGAGCGTCTAGCTTTAGAGTTCACAATCTGGACTCAGATCTCTCTGTACCATTTATTAGCTTTGACCTTAGAAATTTTACTTAAATTTTATGTGCCTCACTTTCCCATCTGTAAAACTTGGATTATAATAATACCTACCTTACAGAGTTTTGGTGAGCATTAAGTGTCTTTTACCAGCTGCTGTGGAGTCAACTCATAGTGACCTCATGTGTGTCAGAGTAGAACTGTGATCCGTAGGGTTTTCAATGGCTGATTTTTCAGAAGTAGGTCACCAGTCCTTTCTTCCAAGGTGCCTCTCAAACCTCCAATCTTTCAGTTAGCAGCCAAGCATATTAACCATTTGCACCTCTAGCATTAATCAGGTGCTCAAATGTTAGCTGTTATTTTTATTGATATTCTATCTTGTGTGGTTTATAAGGAAATAATTGTACTACGGTATATGTATGGAGTCCCTTTGTGGTGCAAACAGTTAAGACATTCAGCTGCTAACCGAAAGATCGGAGGTTCGAGTCCATCCAGGGGCTCCTCAGAAGAAAAACTTGGTAATCTACTTCAGAAAAATCAGCCATTGAAAACCCTATGGAGCATAGTTCTACTCTGATACACATGGAGTCACCAGGAGTTGGAATCGACTCAATGGCAAGTAGGTTTTTTGTTTTTGTTTTTTTTAAATTGGTATATGTATATAACATAGGAAAAAATGTATATGGGTATACTTGATCACGTTACTGATGGGGAGATGATCAAAACGTGACTGCTGAAGCCTAACCAGTCGACATGGGAGCCACGAGGGTGATTCTTGTGATCTGGCCTCCATTTGGAAGTGCTTTCAAAGTTCGCTGAGTTCATCTTGTCCTTGTGTGGATATATTCCCTTTGTACCCTAAAATTCTGCTGTGCTCACTGTACATTTTATATCTCAGACTTCATCTGCTGTCCTCTTGGCTATGTTTCCTACTTCTGTACCTGCCCCCAGGGTCAACCCAAAGTCCCTCTAGATGTAGAATGCCCTGAAACCATTTGTGGTTGCAGGAGGTAGACAGGGATTAGACTGGGCAGATAGGTTGGTGGCTTATTTGAAGCACAGAATAAAATGCTGGTGTATTTTTTGTTTTGATTTGTTTCCCTGTAGTCACTCTGCCCAAGACTTGGCTGGCTCCAGGATCGGTGCATTCTCCTATGGCTCTGGCATGGCAGCAAGTTTATTTTCACTCCGTGCGTCCAAGGATGCTTCTCCAGGTGAGTCCCATCTTTCCATCAAGGCACTCATGACGATTCATCTGATAAAAAAAACCGTCTTCTGCCTCACAGTTCACAGCTTGACGGAATTATGCTGTGATTGGGAACAAGGGAAATCACTAAATGGATTTAAGCAGTGGAGTATGTTTGTCTAATTTATGTTTTTAAAGCACCTCTTGGCTACTACTTAGTGAGTAAATTGAAGAGGAACAAAGGTAGTGTCTTAGGCTGGGTTCTCTAGAGAAGCAAAACCAGTGCAGCGTATAAATATATATATACAGAGAGATTTGTATAAAGGAAATAGCTCATGTGGTTGTGGAGGCTGGAAAGTCCCAAGTCTGTGGGTCAGGCTGGAGGTTTCTCATGACTCATGTAGCTGCAGGTGCTGTCAAATCCAAGATCAGAAGGTCAGATAGCAGGCCTCTGGTTCACAGACTGTGAAGTCAGATGAATCCCAAGATCTGCAGGTTAAGATGGCAGGTAAGCTGCTAGCTCAAGCTCTAAGAACCAGAGATCAGATTAACATGAGCCAGCTGCAGGATCTACAGTGAGCAAAAGCCTGCTAGCCTTGCCAGAAAGTCCACCTATATTGGATACAGGCCACACTCCCCCAGGAAACTCCCTTTCAACTGACTGGCTGCTCACAACAGATCTCATCATGGAGGTGATCACATTATATCAAATCTCATTATGGAGATGATTGTATCATTAAAAAGCTGCCAAACTACATAGTAACTGCCAAACCACTGAGGATCGTGGCCCAGCCAAGGTGACATACGACCTTAACCACCACAAGTGGATATGGAGAAACCAGCGAATAGGCCAGGCAAGAAAAGAACTACTAAGGTGGTGAGTTGGTTGCAACTCGTTAAAGAGAAGTTGATGAATTTGAGGTATCCAGCAAATATTTGCTGATTATTTCATGATTAATGTAATCAAGGACACACATCTAAGCACTATATGGGATATACCTTGACTAGATGAGTGTGTTAGCATAATGTTTTGGTAACATTATGTTTGCTGCCCTTCATCATTTCTTGATATTCTAAGCCACACACAAAGCACTTTCCCCAGGGTTTCAACTCCCACAGAACCCGGCTGTTGGTGATTGATACGACAATGAAGCACGTTAAGCATCTCACTTTTCCTTCCCAGGCTCCCTGCTTGAGAAGCTGGTGTCTAGTGTAGCAGACCTGCCAAACCGCCTAGCTTCCAGGAAGCGTATGTCTGCTGAGGAGTTCGCAGAAGTAATGGACCAGAGAGAACAGTTTTACTGCAAGGGTAAGAAAAGGAGCAGGACGAGAGAAGGAGAAGGCAATTCATCTCAGATTCCATGCCAGTAGCTTGGAGCCAGGGGACAGTGGTGATTCAGTGGTAGAATTCTCTCACCTTCCATGCAGGAGACCCAGGTTCTATTCCTGGCCAATGCACCTCATGCACAGCCACCTGTCCGTGGAGGTTTGCATGTTGATATGATACTGAACAGGTTTCAGTGGAGCTTCCAGATTAAGACAGACTAGGAAAAAAGGCCTGGCAATCTACTTCCAAAAAAATTAGCCGATGAAAACCCTGTGGAGAGCAACGGTCTGATCCACAACTGATCCTGGGAAGGACAGATTACCCAATAAGCAAGGTATGCACGGGCTTACTTGTGCTTACTTATTAATCTCGAGTGAATAATTTCCCCTGTTTTTCACACGTGGTGAAATTGTTCACAAATAAGTCTGTGCATACCTTGCTTACTGGTTAATCTGCCCTCAATCATGGGGATGACATAGGACTGGGCAGCATTTTGTTCTGTTGTACATGGGATCACCATGAATCAGGGACCAACTAGACAACAGCTAACAACAACAACAACAAGCTGGAAGCCAGGGAATCTAGAAGTCCAGAATATAGTTAACCATGGTCTAGACTTCTATGAAATATGACTGGGAGAAGATCTGCTAGATCCAAAGGGTCAAGAACTGGGTGTGGAAGCAGAAGGCAGAGTTGGGAACAGGTAGGAGATGGCATAAACTTCCCAGTACAGAATGCAGCAGCTGCCCAAAACAGGATACTGGAGAATGTAATCCCACAGAAGCCAGAAGTATGGTTCTTGAAATACGTTATCTATGCAACAATGGAAAGAGCCCAGATGCTAGAACTAGATGTCCAAATTTGAATCTGAGCTGAGCAACTCACTAGCTGTGTGCCTTTGGGAAAATTATTGCACTGTTCTCAGTTGCCTCATTTCTAACAGGATACCAACTTTGCAGGGTTGCCAAACAGATTAATCAATTAGTGTACATAAATGTTACCAACAAATATTACTGTCTACTCTCAACTGCCCTCTTACCCCACCAAACATAACAAACTATCACCCAAAAAAAGCAACAAATGAAAAGGAAACAAAAGCCAAAGAAAGGTAAAACTGGAAAGACTAGATGGTGGTTTCAAAACTTTGATACCCACATTTTCTCTAGCAAAACTTGAGACACATGGCTTGCAGTATATATGAAAAGAAGATAGAACATATGAAATTGGGAATGTGTCAATGTTCCCGAAAACCTAGACCTTGTGGTAACTGATCTCATCTGGAACAGGGGACGTGATAGAGCTAACTGGAAAAACAATTTTAAAAATTGGAAGTAAGCCAAGTGTACATCAACAGATGAATGGATAAACAAAATGCGGTATATCCACACAATGGAATATTATTCACCATAAAGAGAAATGTAGTTCTGATACATTGTATGACATGGATGAACCTTGAAAACGTTATACTGAGTGTAATAAGTCAGACACGAAAGAAGAAATATTGAAATACGTGAAATATATTTCACATATACGAAATATCTAGAACAGGCAAATGCATAGAGACAAAAGTTTATTAGTGGTTACCAGGGGCTAAGAAGGGGGACAAAAACAGGGAGTTACTGCATAAGGCATACTGAGTTTCTGTTTAGGATGATGAAAAACATTTTGAAATGGATATCACAACATGGAGAATGTAATTATTGTCACTGAATTATACACTTAAAAAGGTAAATGTCTTGTTATCTGTATTTTACCACAATAAAATTTAAATAAAAAACAGGACCTCTTAGGTGAACATTAATGGACAAAGCACTGAAGCGCTACAATGAAATCATAGCCAGAGAACTTAGGGCTAGGCAGGAAATGTCTATTAGGAAACTGGAAGTTTTGATGTCCACCTCAACCTAGGTATCACTGGCAAAAGGACCTGATGAAGATTTCAGTGGAGAAAGGGCATGTTTACTGTAGGTAAATGTCATCCTCTTCCAATAAAAATGCGAATAGCTAAACCTTAAGTACCAGATTCAAGGTGGCTGCTTCTCTGATTCTTCTGCTGGTCTAGTGTCCCGGATGGTGTATTATAGGTGACCTAGCAGCTCCCACCAGCACAGACTGAAGAGCTTCACCATGAAGTGATAGCATCTCTATTACTCTTTTTCTCTTCCCTTCCGCCATATAGCTCTTTTTGAGTGTTGCCTTTTGTGTTCATTCCACAGTGAATTTCTCACCCTCTGGTGATACTAACAGCCTTTTCCCAGGCACTTGGTACCTGGAGCGAGTGGATGAGATGTATCGCAGGAAGTACGCCCGGCGCCCGTTCTAAAGGCGGTGAGTGAGTCTGCCAAGTTGAGGGCATAAAACCATGATGTCTTTCCTCTGGGTGACAGATGCAATTTTGATACTGTAACCAGGCCAGAGAGGGTCCATTGCTTCCAAACTGATCAGTGGTGGGGAGTTCGTACCATGTTGTTAGTGTTTTAGGTGCTACAAAGTCAGTTCCGACTCATAGCAACCCTATGTACAACGTAACGAAACACTGCCCAGTCTTGTGCCACCCTCACAGGCATTGCTATGCTTGAGCCCATTGTTGCAGCCACTGTGACTATCTGCCTCACTGAAGGTCTTCCTCGTTTTGGCTGATCCTCTACTTTACCAAGCATGATGTCCTTCTCCAGGGACTGGTCCCTTCTGATAACATGTCCAAAGCACATGAGATGAGGTCTCACCAACCTCCCTTCTAGGGAGCACTCTGGCTGTACTTCTTCTAAGAGAGATTTGTTCATTCTTCCGGCAGATCTTGGTATATTCAATATTCTTCACCAGCACCATAATTCAAAACAATCAACTCTTCTTCAGTCTTCCTTATTCATTTTCCACCTTTCTCATGCATATGAGGCAACTGAAAATATCATGGCTTGGGTCAGGTGTACCTTAGTCCTCAAAGTAACATCCTTGCTTTTTAACACTTTAAAGAGGTCTTTTGCAGCAGATTTGCCCAATGCAATATGTTGTTTGACTTCTTGATTGCTGCTTGCATGGGTGTTGATTGTGGATCCAAGTAAAAGGAAATCCTTGACAACTTCAATCTTTTCTCCATTTATCATGATGTTGCTTATTAGTCCAGGTGAGGATTTTTGTTTTCTTTATGTTGAGATGTAATCTATAGTGAAGGCTGTAGTTTTGATCTTCATTAAAGTACCATGAGGGCCATTAAAACTTGGGGCAAAACCTGGGGACGGACATGTCATTAAATCTTGAACGTGAATAGAAGAGTAAGACTTGTCTACCCAATATACTCAAAATACAAAGCTGCCCTAGAAGCCTGAGAGAAAATTAGCACTATAAATGGAAGCGGGCTGTGAACCTGAACCTATGGCACTCATTCCTCCCAAGAGATAAGATCAGTATCAAGATGAATAGTTTCAGAAACGGTACAGTCTAGTGTGCTGGGGACAGATTCCTAAGGAAACAAAGTGGTTGGGAGTTTTCTCAGAGCCAGAAGCCTGGGCTAGAGGGAGCTTTAGGCTAGGGGAAACCAAAACCAAAACCATTGCCGTGGAGTCAAATCCAACTCACAGCAACCCTGTACGACAGAGTAGAACTGCCCCATAAGGTTTCCAAATAGAAGAAAGTTGCCACATCTTTCCCCCTCAGAGCAGCTGGTGGGTTCAAACCACTGATCTTTATGTTAGCGGCTGAGCTCTTAACCACTGCGCCACCAGGACTCCTCTTAGGCTAAGGGGCCAGGCAGCAATTCTTATGCCACAAAGTTCCTTCTGGGGAGTAGCAGTGAGGTTTGGGAAATAAGTGAGGAGGGGGCATAGGAAGAGAAGAGTTTAATGGAAGAGGGTTAGGGTGAGAGGAGAAATGGGAGAATTCTTTAGGGTACTTCTAAAAGAAGAATCAAATGTTTAGAATTGTAATCTTATAGTTCATGTCCCCATAAGGTTTTCATTGGTCAATTTTTTTCAGAAGTAGATCACCAGGTCCTTCTTCCCAGTCTGGCTTAGCCTGGAAGTTCCACTGAAATCTGTCCACTATGGGTGATGCTGATGGTATTTGAAATACTGGTGGTATAGCTTCCAGCATCACAGCAACACGCAAGCTATCATAGTACAACAAACTGACTCTTGAAAGTGTTAAAAAGCAAAGATGTACACCAAACAGAAAAACTAACTCAAAATGGATCAAAGCCTAAAGATAAAACCTAAAACTATAAAGATCATGAAAGAAAAAATAGGGACAACACTAGGGGCCCTAATATATGGCATAAACAGAATACCAAACATAACTAAACATGCACAAAAAGCAGAAAATGAACTAGAAAAATGAGACCTCCTGAAAACTAAACTCTTATGCTTATCAAAAGATTCTTCCGAAAGAGCCTATAGACTGGAAAAAAAATTTTGGCTACGACATATCCAACAAGAGTCTAATCTTTAAAATTTATAGAAAATGTCAACACCTCAACAACAAAAAGACAAACAATCCAATTAAAAAATGGGCAAAGGATATGAACAAACACTTCACTGAAGAAGACATGGAGGCAGCTAACAAATACATGAAGAAATTCTCACAATCATTAGCCATTAGAGAAATGTAAATCAAAACTACAATGAGATACCATCTCACCCCGACAATACTGGCACTAATAAAAAAAATACAGAAAATAGCAAATATTGGAGAGGCTGTGGGGAGACTGGAACTCTTATACACTGATGGTGGGAATGTAAAATGGTACAACCACTACAGAAAATGGTTTGGCGCTTCCTTAAAAAGCTAGAAATAGAAATACCATATGATCCAGTGTCTTAGTCATCTAATGGTGCTATAACAGAAATACCACAAGTGGATGGCTTTAACAAAGAGAAATTTATTCTCTCATGGTCTAGGGGGCTAGAAGTCCAAATTCAGGGTGCCAGCTCCACAGGAAGGCTTTCTCTCTCTGTGGGCTCTCGGGGAAAGTCCTTGTTATCAGCCTTCCCTGGTCTAGGAGCTTCTCAGCACAGGGACCCCTGGTCCAACGGATGCGCTTCCCTCCTAGTTCTTTTTTCTTGGTGGCATGAGGTCCCTCTCCTCTCTGCTCACTTCTCTTTTTTTATATTTCAAAAGAGATTGACTCAAGATATAACTTAATCCTGTAGATTGTGTCCTACCTCATTAACATAACTGCCTCTAATCCTACTTCATTGGCATCATAGAGGTTAGAATTTACAACACATAGGAAAATTACATCAGATCACAAAATGGTAGACAATCACACAGTACTAGGAATCATTGTCTAGCCAAGTTGACAGATATTTGAGGTGGGACACAATTTAATCCATAACATTCTACCCTTTGGCCTCCAAAAATTCATGTCCTTGCAACATATAAAACACTTTCAATCCATCATATCACAGCAAAAGTCTTAAATTAATTCCAAGTCCCAAATCCAAAAGTTCCTCTTCATCTGTGAAATCTAGAATATAAGTTAACTTCCAAACAAGTGTACTTCCAAAGTACAACGGTGGAACTGACACAAACTAGACATTTCCATTACAAATGCGAGAAACTGGAGGGAAAGAAGGAATAACAGGCACCAAGCAAGTCAACAGAACACATTACATTAGCTCTAAAGGCTTGAAAATAATTCTCTGTTCTCTGAGACCTTTTACACAATGGCCCTGCCCTCCAGGCTCTGGGTGTTGGCCACACTGTCTGGATTCTGGGTGGAGGCTCCCCAGCCCTGGATTTTAGCTCCACTTTCCAGGCCCACTGGAACAGCAACTCTGCTCCCTCACATTTGGATGGCCCCATTCTACTAGTCCATCTGAGTGTCAACCCTCCCCCCTCAGCCTGGCAGGCAGTATTCTTCTACCCCTGGGCATGTCAGCCGCACCCCCTCACCGTTGGGCAGTGGATTCAGCCCCATCTGCTGGCACTCGTGAAGAGGCAGCCCCACACTCTGGAACTGAGTTGGTGAAGATCTGATTCTTTGAAACCTAGGAGGCTGTGGCTCCAGCCTTTGAGACCCCAGAGGTTGTGGCCCTTTGAGCTTGTGGCAGCTCAGCTTCCTGTGTTCCTTATCTCTTCAGCTCCTGCTTCCTGGTTCCTTGGCCTCTCATCCCTGTGTGCCTCTCCACCGGCGTTTGCCCTGCGGGGGCAAATGTTCCAAAGTTCTGTAGCTTCACCAATAAGTGCGTGAAGGCACTCCATGCTGCTAGTAAACTTCAGCTGGAAGGCACTCAGCTCTCTTGCTCTGTGGGTTGGCAATCCTAGCTCCACCGATAAGTGCCCAAAGGCATCTCACTCTGCCAGGAAGCCTCCTGCACAAAGGCACTCAGCTCTCCTGCTCTGTGGGTCAGCACCAGCACTGTCTGTTGTTGTTCTCCTGGTTCTGCTGCTGTCATTTCTCTGCTGCTGTCATTTCTCTGATGCTGCTTCTGCTGTCTGCACCATGTCCAATGTACTCTCCTCACTTTCTTCTGAGTACCTCAAAAGAGGTTGACTCAAGATACAACCTAATCTTGTAGATTGAGTCCTTCCTCATTAACATAACTGCCTCTAATCCTGCCTCATTAACATCCTAGAGGTAGGATTTATAACACATAGGAAAATCACATCAGATCACAAAATGGTGGACAACCACACAATACTGGGAATCATGGCCTAGCCAAGTTGACACATGTTTTGGGGGGACACAATTCAATCCATAACACCCAGCAATCCCACTTCTAGGTATATACCCTAAAGAAATAAGAGCCATGACACAAATAGACATATGCACACCCATGTTCCTTGCAGCATTATTCACAATAGCAAAAAGATGGAAACTACCTAAGTGCTCATCAACAAATGAATGGATTAACAAACTGTGGTACATACACACAATGGAATACTATGCAACAATAAAGAATAATGACAAATCCATGAAACATCTCACAACATGGATGGATTTGGAGGACAATATACTGAGTGGAATGTCAATCACAAAAGGACAAATATTGTATGAGACCACTATTATAAAGAAATAAAAAAGTTTTACACACACACAAAAAAATTCTTTGATTACCACGGATAGGAGGAGGAGGGAGAGAAAATTATCAAATAGATAGAAGACATGTGTTAATATTGGTGAAGGGAAAGGCAATACACAATATGGGGCAAGTCAGCAAAACATGACCAAGGCAAGGGAGGACACTGAGCAGAAAACAAGAACAAAGGGCTACAACAGTAATTACTATAACATAGACAATCCTGAAACAATAGTATTAACAAACAATAATTTACAAAGGGATACATAGGTAGATAGGTATGCCAAGAGGTGTGGGAGGGTGTCAGGGAACACATCCACCTGCAAATATAGGTTTGATGGTGGATATTTCTACATACATAACTGTGGGTGTTGCTTATATATTAATAGACAATAGGCCACACAAGGGCCACAGTCAGGGCAACTTTTTGGAGCTCTGCTGGTGCAGTGGTTAACCAAAAGCTCAGCAGTTTGAATCCACCAGCAAATTCTTAGTCATAAGCAAACATCTTACGGGATGAAGTTCCTAGGCTTGAAGGTAAAGGACCATAGACTAGGGAGACATCTATGTCAATTGGCACAACATAGTTTATACACACAAAGTTCTGCATCCTACTTTAGTGAGTAGCATCTGGGGTCCTAAAGCTTGTGAAGAAGAAACAACTATTGGCCTCTTACCATCCAGAGCAAAGGAGAATGAAGAAAACCAAAAACTCAAGGGAGCAATTGGTCCAAAGGGCTAATGGACCACATGAGCCACAGCTTAGATGACCCCAAGACCAGAAGAAAAATTGTAGAACAAACAAATTCACAAAAAAGACCAGACTTACTGATCTGACAGAGACTGGAGAAACCCCTGAGACTATGGCTCCAAGACACCCTTCTGACCTGGAACTGAAGCCATTCCCGGAGACCACCTTCCAGCCAAACCATAGACAGGCCCATAAAATAAACAATAACACTCGAGAGGTATGTGTTCCTTAGAACAATCAATTTTGTGAGATCAAAAGGGCAACATTTGCCCAAAAGCACAGACGAGAACGCAGGAAGGGGTAGAAAATCAAGACGAAAGGAAATAGGGAATCTAGGGTGGAAAGGGGGAGAGTGCAACACATTGTGGGGAATAAAACCAATGTCACAGAATACTTTATGTACAAACTATCAAATGGGAAATGAATTTGCTCTGTAAACTTTCACCTAATGCACAATAAAAAATTAAGGAGGGAAAAAAAAAAAAGCAAAGATGAAACTTTGAGGACTAAGGTGTGCCTGACCCAAACCATGGTATTTTCAGTTGCATCATATGCATGCAAAAGCTGGGCAGTGAATAAGGCAGACTAGAGAAGAATTGATGCCTTTGATTATGGCGTTGGTGAAGAGTATTGAATATATCATAGACTGCCAGAAGAAAGAACAAATCTATCTTGGAAGAAGTACTTCCAGTATGCTCCTTAGAAGGGAGGATGGTGAGACTTAGTCTCACATACTTTGGACATGTTATCAGGAAGGACCAGTCCCTGGAGAAGGACATATGTTTGGTAAAGTAGAGGGTCAGCAAAAAAGAGGAAGACCCTCAATAAGATGGATTGACACAGTGGCTGCAACAATGGGCTCAAACATAGTAAAGATTGTGAGCATGGCACAGGACCGGGCAGTGTTTCATTCTGCTGTACACAGGGTCATTTTGAGTCAGAACTGAGTTCACGCCACCTAACAACAACAGTTCATATCCCCATATATGCCTTAATTTTATATTCCAAATAGGTAAGATAAGCAAAAGAGATGAGAAGCGATGTTTTTTACAACCCATAGATCTCACTCAGTACAGACCCCATCCCCAAATACTTCCCGCTGTATCTTTCTGGGTTGTTTGCTTTTTCTCCTTTGGTAGATGAAAAAGGAAGAAAAGGTGTGCCAAGGGCAGGGTGTGGAGCATGGGAAGGGGAGGTAGAAGTCAGTGGATAAAGGAAATGAAGAGATAAAGCAGCATGAGAAGAAGCGGGGGAGCTTTAGGAAAATGGTACCCTCCATTCATTCCTAACCACTGGGAACATTCTCAGCTGCTTGGCCTCTCTTGTTGAGTCACCAAATTGCTGCAGCCAGGATGTTAGGAGCTAGGTAAGGTGGACAAGGAGGCTGGACAGGCCAGGGCTGCAGGAGTCAACTAAGAACAGGCAACCCAGTAAGCAGGTTCACAAGACTTTGGTACTACCAGGGAGTTCTCAATTTGGTTGTCTGCATGTTTGTTTTAAATGTGGTTAAGGTTAAATCAAGGAACCGTGGTGGCACAACGGTTAAGCACTTGGCTGCGGACCAAAAGGTTGGCAGTTCAAACCCACCCAGTGTCTTTATGGGAGAAAGACCTGGTAATCTGCTCCCATAAAGATTACAGCCTAGAAAACCCTATGGGGCAGTTCTACTCTGTCATATAGGGTCACTATGAGTCAAAATTGACTCGATGGCACACAACAAGGTTAAATCAGTGGCTTGGAAAAAACAAACCAGTTGCCATAGAGTTAAGTCTGACTCATTGCGACCCCATGTGCGTCAGGGTAGAACTGTGTTTCATAGAGTTGTCAATGGCTGTTCTTTCTGAAGTAGATCGCCAAGCCTTTCTTTCGAGGCACCTCTGAATGGATTCGGACCACCCTCTTCAGTTAGTAGTGGAGCACTTAACTGTTGTGCCACTAGGAGACTATTAAATGTGTCAAGCTAGTTGAGTCATCATAAGTGAAATGAAAGAAAGAGAGATTGAGATCTGGGGTTTTCAGAGGAGAATTTCCAAATCAGACTCCCTCCCTCTCATGGTTATAAGGCTCTCCCAAGTGCTCACGCAGCACAGGACCTACAGGGCTCTTGTACTTTTCTCACGCTGATTACTCACATGAGCAATTGACCTACAACAGAGATTTTAGCTGAAATGATTTGATGCAAATGTGGCACTGTTTTTGCTCTGGAGACCTTACACTGCCCTAGCCTGCTCTCCTGTCAGTCAGGACCTGTAAGGGGACCTTGCACCTGCAGCTTTGGCTCCTATTCACTGGGCTGAGCAGGCAGTGGGAGTAGTTAAGAGAATCCCTCTGCAGTCACACTGTGGGTAAGGAGCAGGCACTGGGAGGGCAGGCATGCCCTAGTATGAGACTCATGATTGAACGTCTTTCTTTTGTGTCTTTTAATTCTACAGATCCATAGAGCTGCAGAGCTTCTGCCCGTGATCAAGTAATACTGTCCAAAACGTACTGAACTCCTTACCTGAACCTGCCAAATATGCTCATGACCTCATGCCTTTACACACTTTCTGCCCCTTATAAAATCCTTCTAAACCATCTTCTTCTGAGACTCCAACTTCCTCAGCTCAAATGAATTCCTCCTCTGGATCCCACAGGATTCCATATACATCTGTTGTAGCACTTCTCACACTGCACCCAGTGATCTCTGTGTGTGTGCCTCTGACCCTCCCACCAGAGGGAGACTCCTATGAGAGTGGGCTCTGGGCTTTACTCATCTTCTCAAGCACCAGTGTCTGGCATATCATGCTGTCCATGTTTGTTGAATTATGTTTATTAATATGCGTGTATGTAATGGCGCTGCTAACCAAAAGGTTGGCAGTTCCAACCCACCCAGTGACTCCACAGGAGGAAGACCTGGCAACCTCCTCCTGTGAAGATTACAGTCTAGAAAACCCTACGGGGGTAGTTCTACTCTGTCACATGGGGTCACTATGAGTTGAAATAGACTCAATGGAACACAACATGCTCTCAGATGAAATGTGCCATAGGGACCTGAAATATCTTGAGTTTGTTACTGTAAAAATGCCTCTGAATAAGCTTGAAGGACAGACACCAGAAGGATCATCTTCAGAGCATCCATCCCAGGCATGCAATTCACCTACCCCAATCCTCCATATTCCCTACCTGCCTGCAACGAAAACCAAGCCATGGCTGCCCTCTGGTGGCTCTTCCGGGTAATGGCAAGACAAAGATGCTGGGAGAATTTGGGGTCAGCTCTTTATTAGATAGTTATTGCTGCACTACAGGGGTCCGATGAGGTCTACAGTAGAGGCAGTTGTTAGTGGCTCATGGTGAGCCCGGGGAATGTGGACCTTCTCTTCCTGTTGGTCACAGCAAGCAGGTTTCTTCAGAAAAGCAGCAGAGACTGGGACCAATGAGCTCCAAGGTTAGAAATGGAACTGGAAGGCCTCAGTCACATGCTGCTTCCATGCCTCCAGGCTGGGCAGCAGGGAAGAGATGCCCATGACATGCCAGGTCTCCCCATTCAGCACCACTGAGGTCTGGTAGGACAGCAGCTGCACACCTGCCTCTGCCAGGAGGCCTGCAGAGTAGAAGAAACCCCGGTTAGCACAAGGCGTGAGGAAAGGAGGAGTGAGGGGCTGGGAGTGGAATAAGAAGTCTTGGGCTTCAGTAACCAAAGCTGGAGTTCCTGGGTGGTGCAAATAGTTATGCACTTGACTACTAGCTGAAAGACTGGCAGTTCAAACCCACCCAGAGATGCCTTGGAAGATCTGCTTCCGAAAACCCTATGGAGCAATTCTACTCTGCACACATGGGGTCGCTATGAGTTGGAATCAAACTCAGCTGCAACTAACAAAATGTTCAAAGCTGCAGTGGGGGATGAGGATCACAGAATCAAAGACATCATACATGGAAGGAATGAGAGCATCTGGCCAGGTTCCCTCGCTGTTCCAGAGACTGGGAATATCCTGGCTATCAGATAAGATAGAGAAGAGAAATCCAGACACAAAGAGCTGTAGCCATCTCTTGACTTGCTGATGGCCAATTTTATCCAGATCAACAGCAAGGGAGAAAAGCAGGGGAAAGTTCTTCTCAGCATCTGGCAAGACTGGTGAAATGAAGTCCCCAGAGGTCTGAGACACATTCTCTGTCAAATCTGGACGTGCTCCCAGCAGCCCAGGCCCCAGGGGAGCAAAGCTCAGCATGGGGGCAGGTCTGAGATGCCCACGGCTACTGGAGGGGATGCCCTGGTAGGCTCTGCTTTGGTCAAGCTGGACAACAGGGACTGTGGTCAGGGGAAGAGCCTGAGGTCAGAGCTCTGAGCTCCTGGGAGACCTCGCCACAGGCATATTGAAACTGATCTCAGCATGGCAAACGGCTCTGGTCTCGCCCGTAACACATAGTTCTACAACATCATATAAAGCACTTTACTTCTCTGAACTCAGTAACCACCCCCCAAATGTTCTGGAAATGGGTATGACAGACCCACAGTGTGATACAGAGATGTTCTGAGGCGTGGAGAGGAGGCAGATCTGTGGAGCCCACTCCCAGGGCAGAAACCCCCGCTCCTGCCTCAAGGGCGCCGACTGTCCCCACAGGCCCCTCCTTACCAATCATGGTAGGCAGCATGGCGGGGTTGGAGGGCTGAGCCCGGAACATGAGCAGGGGCAAGCCCCTGCGGAGAGGCACTTCTGGCCTGAAGACAGCTCCATTGAGCGCCTGCAGCACAGGTGTGGTGCCCTGCACTGAGCCCACAGCTTGGTAGGGGGCGCCTGCCAGGGTCACGGTCAGGAGGCATTCCCCACAGCCCTGCTGCTCTCCTGGGAGCAGGGGAGCAGCAGGGCTGTGGGAGGTGGTAACCTGTGGAGAGAAAGCAAGGAGGCTCAGTTATTCCTCTGGGCTGCATCATGCCCAACCTCTCCCTCGGCTCAACAGCCCACTCACAGGGCTGAGCCGATATGCTCAGCAGTTCAGGGGCCGGGGGAAGAGGGCAATGGGCTATGCCTTGCACCCTGAGCATCAGCTTCCTGGGACAGTCAATGGCTCCCTGGAGGGAGGACAAAGAGATCTCTAAGGTACAGGTACAGACTTGGAGGGGTGGCAACTGGAGGGAGGGAGGGAGGGAGGGAGGGAGGCAGGGCTGTAAGGACTCAGATGCTGGGTTAACAGGCCAGCCACAGACTCACTCAGTCTGGCCCCTCCTGCTATAACTTACTGCTTCCTGCACAGAATCAGTGGCCTGGCTGGGAGGTAGTAGTGTAAGGCAAGGAGGTGGGTGGGGAAGGAGGGAGTTGGGAATTAGGAGAAGCAATCTCTCTTTGGAGTCCCTGGGTAGTGCAAATGTTTAATGTTCTTGGCTATTAACCGGAAGGTTTGGAGGTGCGAATCCATTCAGACACCTTAGTAGAAAGGCCTGGTGATCTACTTCTGAAAAATCAGCCACTGAAAACCCTCTGGAGCACAGTTCTCCTCTGACACACAAGTCGGAATTGACTTGATGGCAACTGGTTTAATCTCGCTCTGCCAGCTCCCGCTGGCTGAAAAACACAAACTTTGATCTGAAAAGGTGACCAAAGGTGAAGAGGCCAAAGGGAAGCAATGAGGGGCAGGAGAGGGTGCATGGGACATGCTGCTTGCTCCCAGGATCTGCAAGCTAATCAAGAAGCAGGCTACTGTGGAAAAAGGAACACTGGAAAGAGAGCCAGAGCCAGGGGGCACTGGGCCATCTCCAAGCCTCAGCCACGTCAGATGCTGCCTGGAGACTCAGCCTGGTTGTCATTCTCCTTGGCTGTGAAACGGGTTGTTATGGACTGAATTATGTCCCTCAAAAATATGCACTGAAATCCTAACCCCTATACCTGTCAATATGACCCTGTTTGAAAATAGGGGCTTTTCTTTTGTTAGGTCAGTGAGGTCATACCAGTGTGGGGTGGGTGCTAAACCTAATCACTTCTGAGTTATAAAAAGAGCAGAATAGGCTCAGAGGCCCATGTAGGAGGAAGATGTCATATGAAGACAGACATACGCCAGATACATCTACAAGCCTAGGAACTCCAAGGATCACTGGCAGCTACTAGAAGCTGAAATAGACAAGGAAGGCCCTCCCCCTAGAGCCACACCTTGATTTTGGACTTCCAGCCTCCCAAACTGTAAGAAATAAATTTCTGTTCTTCAAAGCCATACACTTGTGGTATGTTTTTGTTATGGCAGCACTAGGTAACTCAGAGAAGGGGATACACAGAGCAGTGGAGTTCACAAAGCACTTTCACACATATTATCTCACTTAATCTTCACAGCGACAGTCAGAGGTAGACAGTATCTCCATTTGGCAAGTGAAGATGTTATAGCTTCTTCTCACAGACACCCAGGGCTTCTACTTAATGAGTAGGGCTATAAACATGCTTCTGAAAAGGTGCTCTGAAAGCTAAGGAGAAGAAGGTAGTGCCAGAGGGGATGGTGAAGGACAGGGCAGGAGTGGGGGACGTACATTGAGCCCAGCCTCTTTCACCAGCAGCTTGGCATTCACCAAGTTCACATCTGCCTGGTTGGAAGCTTCCTTCAGGAGGCCCACGATGACGGCAGGCCTTAGGCAGTTCCCAGCATTCTTCAGGGATGTTCCTGCGGACCGAGAGAAGCTACCACAAGGTCACTGTTTGTTGAGAAACGCAGGAGTGGGCAGGAGGCCACTGGCACCTCCTCACTCACTGCTCAGGGCAGCTGCACTTCTCTTCCTCCCAAGGGCTCAAAGCCAGCCGTGGGGGAGAGGTGCAATCTGGATCCAAGCCAGGAAACACTGCATGCTCTAAAGTGGCCCTGAGAAACTCCCCTTCAAAACTTGGCATGCCTCCCACTGCACCCACCCCATTTGACTCTGCCATATTAGCCTGACTATCCTTCTTGAGGGCACCCTGACCTGGCACTCAGACCCTTGCAGGCCTCAGGAAATGGAAACAAAAAGGAGCAAGTGAAGCAACCTTTCACCATGGACGCCCAGACCCCTGCCACCCAGGCCCCACCGAGGCCTTGTTTCCCCTGGGCCTGGGCACACAGGCCAGCGGGCATCCCCTGGTATTGTCAATGTTTCAGGGACTAATGCCTCACCCCCGTCTCTCCTCAAGGTGTAGAGATGTCCAGCAGTCACAGGAGAAAGACAAGCCTCTAGAGTGATAAGGGAATAGATCCCTCCCTGGCCTTTCAACCACATCTACACAGCGCTGGATTCAATACAAAGGCATCCAGAGCCTGCTCAGTGGCCTCTCAGGGTAGACAAAGAGTGCTGTTCTCATTCCCACTCCATGGCTGAGCAAACACCCTCAAGGTCTGCTGGCTGGCCTGAGGCCCACCTCAGTATGTCACAGAGCACACAATCTCCCCACTGGCTCATCAGCTACATTTACCCCTGACTCTCACTCTACACGAGAAGAAACCAAGGTTCAGAGAAGGGAAAGTCACCTAGCAAGTGGGTGGCAGGTTTAAAACAGATTCTAACATCCTCTTGCTTAAAGTAGGCCTCCCTCCACTGGATCCTACTGTCTCTTGCATGCAAGTCCACGTCTTGTGAGGTATCTCTTGGACCCAAACGATGAATATCTTACAAATACTGCATAAACATGATTTGTGAAAATTAAATGTTTTTCCGGTGACTTTTTGTATCTTCCCCCCTCCCACTACTCTCGGTAGTAAGTGAGCCATATTCAGAGCACAAGATGTGGAGTCACAAGACCAGGGTCCAAGTCACCTCCGGGTCTACTGCCAGCTCTGTGGCCTGCAGACACACCCAGCGGGCTGCAAAGTCCACCCGCCCTTCGTCTCCTTCCCTCTGCAGAGTCCCCAGCTCATCCCATGCAGTCAGCAATGTCTGGGCTCACCCTGTGTCACCACCTGGATGGTCCCTTTGGGGGACCCGGCCCAGGCTCGCATCAGTGACCCCAGAGCTTCTGCCAGACCAATCCACGGCTTGGTGTGTGGAGAGAAGGCACTGGTAAGGGCCTGAGCATTTACCTGCAGAGAAAAGAGGAGCAGGGCTGAGGGCAGGAAGGGGCAGGTCAGGGGCACACCTGCCCAACTCAGCCCCCAAGTCAAGGTCTTGTTGCCAAGACTCAGCCCCACATGGAGAACAGATGGTAAAGGGCCAGCCTTGCTTTGGCTGCCTGGTGGGTGACAACTGCCCATCAGCCACTAACAAGAAGGCAATGACTTGTCCTATAGATGAGAATTGTGGAGGCAGGAATGAACACAGAAGGCTAAGATCACTCAAAACTTCCTGGGGTGGGGGAGAGTCAATTCTCCCTTCATTCAACTGTCAGCCTTGCCCCACTCCATGCTGGGGAAGCATCTGAACAGCACAATAAGAAGGTGTACACATTACTTGGATATATGGTAGTGGGTCTCTCTGGGATGGCATTCCTCATTTGCCTTTATCTTACATTTCTGACTAGATGGTTTTCTGACTACATAAAATGTTTGGGCCCTGTTATGGATTGAACTGTGTCCCCCTAAAATATGTGCTGTAAATCCTGGCCCTGGTGGCATACTGGTTAAGAGCTAACCAACAGATTAATGGTTCAAATCCACCAGTTGCTCCTTGGAAACCCTATAGGGCAGTTCTACTCAGTCCTATAGGGTTGCTATCATTTGGAATTGACTTGATGGCAGCAGGTTTGGGGTTTTTTTTTTGGTATACCTATAGGGTCTCTATGATTTGGAATTGACTCGAGCGCAAAGGTGCCACCCAGGCTTCAGAGAAGCTTAATTCATGGTTTTTTCCTCAGAAAACTTAGAATTTAGTTAGGGAGAAAGATATAAATGCCTGGAACCTTGACAACGTGGTTAATTGCCCAAAGGACTGAGATGGAGCTAGAAATGCAAACTAAGTCTTAGTGAAGGCAGTGGTGAGCCCAAAGAAATAAGGCCACGCCTTATTGCCCGTGTCCCCACAAAGTTAGACAGAGTACATGGCACCCCCTGGAGCTTAAGAAATATCTAAAGAATGAATGAATGAGATAGGAATGGAGTAGAAGTCAGGTTGGAGGAAAAAGAGGGCATGCCAGGAAGGGCCCAACGTGAGCAAAGACAAGAAGTGGGGATATTCCCACTTACATGAAATCTCTAGAACAGGCACCAACATGCACATATATAGAGACCAGAGCTTATTAGTGGTTACCAGGGTCAAGAGAGAGGAGAAAAGGGCAGTGATTGTCTAGGAAGCATTGATGGAATGGTGATGGAAAACTGGCCACAGATACTGGTGATGATCGCACAGCATGATTGATATAATCAGGGTCACTGAATTATACAACTGAAAACGTTGAATTGGCAAATGTTGGGTTATATACATTTTTACCACAATTAAACAAAAGAAGTGGGGAGATTATTCCCTGGCTTGGGAAAAACAAGGGGGTCAGCTGGTGTGGAGGGTTCATATTAGGGGGCAAGGTTCACCAAGGCTCTAAGATGGACATGAAGGAAAAAGGCTTCTGAGGAGCTTGCAAGGTAAGAGCTCTGGGAAGGGGCTTTCCACACAGGCCACTCCCACCCCGCCTCCACTCACTGCATCCACCAGCAGTCACCCCAGCAACGCTGCTTTGTTCTCAAGGCATGTGGAGAACAAAGGAGCCTTTCTCTAGCGGCTGGGCCTGGGAAGAGTCACAACCTCTGCAGCAAGGCTGCAATACAGCAGGGCTAAGCTGGCAGCTCCTGCTACGAGGTCTCAGATAACAAGGCTGGGGATAGGGCTGCTCCTGCCCACCCCTGCCCCAACAGGGCTGACTCAAGTGGGTTCCCTTATCTTCAGCTTCCAGGGCCAAATCTGTTCACCATACCACTTCTCACCCATGTAGGCACCGTTCCCAACAAGACACCCTCCTCTCCCTCCTCCTTCTCACCTCTGGGCCCCCAGCCCTGCATGGTGATACTCACGACCCCTACAAGAGATCTCCCCTTCACCATGTCCACAAACTGGATGGCGATTTCCTCACCGCAGCGGCTCTGGGCTTCCATGGTGCTGGCGCCCAGGTGGGGGCAGCTGATGACATTCTCGTGGTCCACCAAGGCTCGGTCTCGTGGTGGTTCCTGTCCAGGAAGACACTCTGTCTGTTGGCTGCTATGCATGGACCACCCCCACTCAGGCAGCCCTGGGACTTAAGAGAAGCTGTCGAGGAAGAAGGCAGGAGTGGTACTGCCTTCTACTTCTGTTTTATCATGGTGGTCACTTGTCTCAATAACTGGATTCCTCATAAATGTTCTACCACAGCAGAGTGTAGACAACAAAAGCTGTGAACTGGAGTCAAACCACAGCTCCACCACTTACCATCTATGTGCCTTTGGGCAAATCTTAATCTCTTAGAGCCTCAGTTTCCCTTCCTATAAAATGAGGTTAATGCTATTACTACTTCATAACATTATTGTGGGGATTATGCACCCTTCAAGTCCCTAGGTGGTACAAATGATTAATGCATTCAGCTGCTAATCACAAGTCTGGAGGTTTGAGTCCACCCCAGAACTACCTAGGAAGTAAAGCCTGGCCATCTATTTCCGAAGAATCAGCTATTGAAGACCCTATGGAGCACAGTTCTACTCTGGCATACATGGGGTTGCTATGAGTTGGAATGGACTCAACAGCAACTGGTTTTATGCACCTTTAACAGAGGTTCTCAACCAGTGGTAGCCATAATTGTTACTGGTTTTCCCCCTGAAACTCACCCCCTCTGCATCCCTGCAGCACTTACTGTCCCTGCGCCTGACAGTGTTCTTAGCACAGTGTCATGCTCGTCACAGGCATTCAACACAGCTCTCTGCACCCTGGCTCTCACCAGGACAGGCTGCCCACCTGAGGCACCTGCACCCCACCTTCCAGAGTCCCCTCTACCCCTCCTGCATGCTGAGCAGAACGTATTGCCCTTGGGAATGTTGCTTGGGCCTCTGCTCTTCTGAGCCCCCTTCCCAGTGCTCTGTTGGCTCCCACTGAATTTTGACCACGTAGCCCTGTGAATCCAGGCCACATAACAGTAGATACTAAGAGGAGGCACAAGAGGGCACGTTTCTGGGAAAGGTGCAATGTTAGGAAGGGTGGTTAACACAGAGATGGGCAAGGAATGTCCCTGTCTTCAAGGAGCTTACAATCTAGTTGAGCAAAATGCACTACAGGGACGCAGCGAGGGCCTGGGCCACAGCTAGTAGGTATCGGAACAAACAAATTCCTGACTGCCTGATCCAGAGTCCCTGCTTTTTCCCCTGTGTCCTTGGAGGGGAGAGAAGCTCTGACATTGGGGGCAAAATGTTTGAAGAAAAAAGTAGAAATGGACTTGTCCCCATTCTACTAGGTGTGAGGGTAAGGTAGGGGGATGAGTGAGTGGATGTGGAGGCTCTGTTCCCACAGGGGGACCCACGGGGAGCAGCCCATTCTGGGCACTGAGGGAACACTTCACCATTAGCCTCGGGCTTCGTTCCTGCCCTGGGAAAAGAGGAAAAGCCATTGGGCCCCGAATGGAAAGTCTCCTTGGCAAAGGGACTGCACTTCAGAGACCTGTATCAGTACATTAAACCCTTCTCGCTGCCCCAAATCCTTGGCCTCATGGATCAATAGGCCAGCAACTCTTCAGAACTGATTTACAGTTCCTGTCTTCCCCTAAAGTTATCAAATGGCAGCAGTTCGAGGAGCCCAAGACCAGAGATTAGGTCCTATTTAAAACTTGCGTTTTGCAGGACTCAACATGGTTGTCCCCACACCAAGCACTGCAAAGGCTCCTCAGACCACAAAAGTTATCTTGCAACCTGATTTCCTCCATTTACCATGGACACTAGAAACAACAGCTGCTGGTTTTCCCTGCCATGAGGCCTCTCTGTTTCCCATCTCTCCCTCCTCCACCACCACGGGCTGCCAGGCACTTACCTCGGTAAACACGTCCAGCGCAGCTCCAGCACACTGACCAGATTGCAGGGCCCGGAGCAGGGCGCCTTCGTCCACAATCCCTCCCCGAGCACAGTTCACCACACGCACCCCTTTCTTGCACTGGGCAAAGGTGCTGTCATTCAGCAAGCCTGGAAAAAAGGGCAGCGTTTCCCTGCTAGGATGGTGCCTGCGATTCCCCGTTCTCAGCACTGGCTCCCAAAGGCCCTCTCGTCCATCTTCGTCTTGCCTCTTCCTTCTCAGATGCTCTGGGACAGGAGTCCCTGTTCTGGATTTGAGCCTGACTCCAAACCAAAAGGTTGGTTTGAAAACATCCCAGAAGTCCCTGAGATATTACTGCTTCGAATGGGTCCTGGAATCAGAACGCCCTGCAGGGCCCCAGAAGTACTCATGGGGATCACTGGAGGTACAGGTTGTGCCAAACTCGTCCAGGCACCCGGTGCATTTCCAGCCAGCTCATCACTCCTCCCTCTGACGTGGAGCATCTAACAGAGCATCACCATGCTCCAGAGGATCTGGGTGGTCCTCCCCACAGCTGGTCAGTCACCAGTATCTACTGAGGACCCACCCTTATCTGGTGTGTGGTTTCTTGGCCAACCCACAAGGTAGTAACACACGTACCTGTCGTGGAGGGCAGGAGTGGTGTGTGCACTGTGATGAAATCACAGACAGGCCAGATCTCCTCCAGCGGCAGCTGCTGAACTCCAAAGGAGGAAGAGACCTCTGGAGGAATGATGGGGTCATACCCTATAGTCTGATCGAAGCAAGAGAGGGAGTATCGTTATTATTGTTATTATTCATGATGGATACCATTTACTGAGCATTACCATACACTAAGCACTATGCTAAGCCTTTTGCAAACACCAATCTAATTCCCGTGACAACCCAGTGAGATTGGTATTCTTCTTATCTCCACTTTAGGGATGAGGAAAGCAGGGTTTACACAACTAGGAGGTGTCAGAGCCAGAATTCAAAAGGAAGGTTGTCTGCCTCCAGGGCCCATGCTCTTCACCACGAACAGACACAAGAGAAATGCATGTGTAATTGGACAAGGTGGAACATGGAAAGCAGGGCACCCTCTGTGAGGGAGGATGGTTATATGGGGAACAAGGACATGGTCGTGGGGTACAACCAGGAAAGGGAGGAGAGAAGGTGACTATAATTGTACAGCCCACAGGTCCGAGAAACAGGCAGATGGAATGACTATTTAAACAGAGTGAGGAAAACATCAGGAAGGCGGGCATTGGTGGTGGCAGAGCAGGGCTGGGAATGAGACCAAGACCTGTCACTCGGGGAGAGGGCAACACATCAACGCTGACATGCCAGTAGGGAGAGGATGGTCCCCTCTCTTAAAATTTCTTATAATAAGGCTTACAATGCATCTAGTCTTGGAAGGCCTAGCTTGGTGACTAAGAGCACACAGAAGTACAAGCGACTAATGGCAGATCCTTTCAACAAAGCAGGTCCAATTGGGGCGGGGAACAAGGACATCATCAAGAGGAGGTAAGTGGCACGTGAAGGCAGCAGGGATGGGAAGGGACCCAGGAAGAACCTTGGCCTAGGCTGGCCAGGGAGGATGGGGTTCCCCAAAGCAGAGGGGCCTCCCTGAGGCTGCTGAGAAGGAAGAAAGATCAGCTCCTGGAAGATGGGAGCAGGCAGAAAAACTTCACGGAAGCAAACTACATCAGCCCCATGAAACTGGCTAAAGGCCGTCAGATATTAGTGATAGGAAGAGAGAAAGTTGGGGAAAACAAAGCTCTGAAGAAGGAGGAAAGGATGTGTAGTCATAGCTAATAACAGCAAACATTTAAATAGCATTTGCTCTGAGTCAGGTGATTTTATATAAACTCATTCTTTATGGGTTAACCCGTTGCCATTGAGTTAATTCCAACTCATAGCGACCCTATAGGACAGAGTAGAACTGACTGTCCCCATAGGGTTTCCAAGGAACAGCTGGTGGATTCAAACTGCCAACATTCTGGTTAGCAGCCAATCACTTAACCACTGTACTTTAATGGGTTAGGCACTTTTATTTCCCCATTTTATAGGTGAGGAAACTGAGGCACAGAGAGGTTAAATGATTTATCCAAGGTTGCAAACCTAGTAAATGGCAGAGCTGGGATACAAGCCAGGTGTCCTGACTCCTGGGCCTGCACTGTAAGTGTCTACACTCTAAAAAGTGGCTGGAAGCCTGAGCAACAGATGAGAGGGGGTAGGATGATGGCGGGAGGGGCAGGTCTACGTGGGGACCTGCTGTCACTTGAGGAGTGATGGCACAATGACTGTCAAGGAAGAGGGCAGCACTGTCCCAGAGGTGGAATAGGAAGGCCCACAGCCCCACATGAGACAGCAGGGTGGAGTGAGATTGAAAGCCTCTCCTCTCCTGCATCAGAGACAGTCCTGGATGCCAGCCATGCATCCCTCAGCAAGGGCAATGCCTAAAACGTTATCAAGCTGGCACACACAGTAGGGCAGAGTACAGCCAGGTACAAAGGGTCTGACTCCTGGCAACAGCAAAGACCTATCCACTTTCTGCCTGGTCAGCCCAAGAGACCTTCTCAGGGCTCTGTGAGTTCAGTCCACGTCAGCAATACCGATGGGGTCAGGGGAGAAGAGACTTAGGAGCCTTAAGAATCTTAAAGGCATCGACGTCCTCAAGAAGGCAGGATGGAAGACTGAGCAGGGCAGGCCTGCAGGACCCAAGGTTGTCAACTGCGACCCAGGAGGCCTGGATTTGAATCCTGCTCAGTCACTGTCAACAATGTCAAGGCAAAGTTGGTGCTCCCTCTGGGCCTGGGTCCTCGACCCTAAAAATAATCATCCTCCCTTTTTACAGGAACAGTGAAATGTCCAGGGGAGGAGACAGCATCTGGGCCCTTGTCATAACAAGTCTCCTTTGTCTGGTAGCTCTGACAATGGCTAGGAAAATGGGCCCATTCATCTCTAATCCAGATGGGTTTTTTTTTTTGTTTCACGTGGAGAGGGGAGAGGAAGAGGACACCAACAAGGGTTACAAAGCCAAGCCCAGCTGAGCAAGTCCACAGAACTCTCTCACCTGCTCTGCTCTCAGAAGCCAACAAACAGTCTGGGCCTGGCAGGAGGAAGAGTCTGCACCATGAGCCTGGACCCATGCCCCGGCCAGCAGGTGCCTCAGGTTCAACAGAGAAAATCGGGTAGAGGAGGAGATAAGCATCTTCCTCAGTGGTCAACAAGCACTGACTCATCTCCTCTCCTTCACAGAGAGATCGTATCCGTTCATCTACAGACAACTACAGGGTAAGAATTTGGCTGAGAACACCCTTATTCTCATTTTCCCCTTGAGACAGCCCCAGTAGACAGGAGATGAACTCAGCTAGGGGATGAGGGGACTGGCTTGGGTCTATTAATGCATTCTAAGGGACATGCTAGCATAAGTGGATTGAGTCTACAAAATTACAACCTGTTATTTGGCGATACTATTGAGAAAGTTTCAAGCAGAAGAAATATCCTAGAGAATATTCTACACCAGAAAATCATGTTGGGGGAGTGAAAAGGATGACATCATCAGGCCCAGGAGACACGTGCCTGCCCAGGGTCCTGGTGTACCTGAATCTGTAGCTGTTGGAGCACCTCTCTGTACACACCATCCAAAAGACTAGTGTTACAGAGGAGCCTCGGGGAGAAGCAGAAAGGATGCCCCCACCTCCAATCATAGCCCCAGGACAGACCCCTGACACTGGTGCAATAGAGAAACTCCAGCTTCTCCTGTGGTCCTCCAGGAGCTGCTCCAAGGTCCTGCTGACTCAGGAGTGAAAGAAGGCAAGCAAGGAGGCCTTGAACTTAAAGGGTCTTTGATGAGAACCCTAACAGTCATACTCTGTCTCCACCCCATAGCCAGTGTTTTTGGTTTTAGCAACAGAACCCTTGTTTTTCCCTCCAGTGAAATCTTAAACAGAAACTCAGTATAAAAAACAAAAATCAGCTGCCGTTGAGTAGATTCTGACTCATGGCAACTCCATGCATTATGAGAGTAGACCTGTGCTCCATAGGGCTTTCAGTGGCTGATTTTATGGAAGTAGATTGCCAGATCTTTCTTCTGAGGTACCTCTCCACCTATACCTGTGCTGGGTGGAATGGCAGCAAAGGTGGTCTAGGACAGACCTCTCATCCCAACTAACCTCAACACACACAGCCAGCGGTGCTGGGAAGCCGCCTGGCTAAGCTCCCTAGGAGCTAATTCTAGGATCCCTCCCCTTCCCTAAGTGATCAGATATTCACAAAGAAAGTGGGAAATAGGATGATCATCCCCACATCTGGGCACAGGTAGGTCTAACTCTGCAACACCTGTGATATGAAGCGGTCAGCTCTGAAAATATGAAATTCTGAAAAGAGTCAGATGCTAATCATTAGTTAACAGCCTAAGTATAGAGTAGCAGCCAGGGTGACAGCCCAGGGCACAAGATAAGACCTTAGGCACCAGGGAGAGAAAGGGAGTGATAAAGAAAATCTTCACATTCTTCGCAGTTCTGCCTGGGCCAGCCCAACCAGAACCACTCCAACTGACACCTAGGCCTTATTCACATCACAAGATTCCCGAGAGGCTGCCCTTGGTCCACTGTCTTTAATTAGGTTGTTCTCCCACATTGCTGTGATAAACCATAGTCTTCAATAATTTCACACTATTTCCTATGGCCGCACAGTGAACTCACTGCTATGAAAACTATTTCACAGATAAAGAAGCTGGTACCCCATGGATGACGGATTCTCAAAGATGTCAGGGCTTTAAACTTTAAAGGGCATCTGCTTCAACCTCTCAGCCACTGCTCACATCCCCTCTTCACATGCTGGCCAAGCGGTTATCCAGTCTTGCATATCTATCTGCAGTGAGAGGGAACTTGCTCTCTCCTTCCACCACCTGTTATGGATTGAATTATGTCCTCTAAAAATGTGTGTCAACTTGGCTAAGCCATAATTTCCAGTATTGTGTGGTTGTCCACCATTTTGTGATCTGATGTGATTATCCTATGTGCTGTAAATCCTAACCTCTATGATGTTAATGAGGCAGGATTCCAGGCAGTTATGTTAATGAGGCAGGACTCAATCCACAGGATTAGGTTGTATCTTGAGTCAATCTTTTTTGAGATATAAAAGAGAGAATTGCATAGAGAGGAGGGACTTCATGTCACCAAAAAAAAAGCACTGGTAGCAGAGCACGTCCTTTGGACACAGAATCCCTGTGCTGAGAAGATCCTAGACCAGGGGAAGATTGATGACAAGGACCTTCCCCTAGAGCAGACATAGAGAGAAAGGCTTCCCCTGGAGGTGGCACCCTGAATTTGGACTTCTAGCCTCCTAAACTGTGAGAGAATAAACCTCTGTTTGTGAAAGCCATCCACTTGTGGTAATTCTGTTATAGCAGCACTAGATATCTAAGATGTCATCCATTCTATCTGGGGACAGCTCTGTGTGTGTAGCTCTATCCCCTCCAGCTCACACTCATTTTTCCTTCCTGACTATATTTCTCTGGGGAGCTAGACACTGAGTGGGCTGCATGGCTCTTCAACAGGATGGCTTTTTTGCTATTTGAAGGCCTCCACTAAGACTCTCAAATCTTGACTGGGCCCTGTGACCCCAGTACCTCCAACCTTCCCTGAGAAACCACAGACATGAGCCCCCTTGCTATCTCCTCTGTCTTCAGTGCTTCCACAGATTTGCAGAGCATGGAGCCCTTGAAGGCTCACTATACTCACAGAGGGTCTGACCAGTACAGAGCGTGAGGTATGTCACCTCCCTCACTCTGTAAACCATACTTCTTTTAATGCTGCCAAAAAGTCTTCATCAACCACACAACTAAAACCACTGTACTTTTGTCAACTAAAGCCCTTCTCCTCCGAAAAGTTTTTAGAAGCATCTTTACATTCAATACTTGTCTAGTTGTTTTTTTTTTGGATCCACATGTAGGGTGCTGAAATATATTCCTGTAAATTTTCTGTCAGAGCAACCAATCATTCCACCTTTCCTATGTCTTTTAGGACCTGCTTCTGTATTCTTAGGTATTAGCTACTGTCTTAGCTATCTAGTGCTCCTATAACAGAAATACCATAGGTGGGTGTCTTTAACAAACAAATTTATTTTCTCACAGTTTTGGAGGCTAGAAGTTCAAATTCTGGGTGCCAGCTCTAGGGGAAGGCTTTCTCTGTCAGCTCTGGAGGAAGGTCCTTGTTTCTTTGAACTTCTGCTCCTCAGAGATCTTCATGCGGCTTGGCATCTCTCTTCACACATCTCTGCTTGCTCACTTACTTGTTTAATCTCTTTTACATCTCAAAAGAGATTGACTCAAAATACACCCTATACTAATCCTACCTCATTAACATAACAAAGACAACCCATTCCCAAATGGAATTATAACTACAGATATACAGGTTAGGATTTACAACTCGTATTTTGAGGGGATGTAATTCAATCCATGACAGCTAGCTTCCCTCTTCTTGTCATCCACAAACGACATATTATCTTGGCTGTTGATGAGAGTGGTGGACCAGACAGAGCCCTGCACCATCCTGAGCAATCTCCCATCCGGACTGAGGAGGAACCATCCTTCCACCAGTGACTAAACTCCTTAACTGTTCTAGCATTAAGCTCACAGTCTCCATGCCAAGCCCAAGGGTATCGTGATAAGTCTCACCAATGTCTTGCTAAAGTCCATGCATAAAAACAATCTAAACACCCCTACAGCAATACAGATATATGAAGATTCAGGAACAGGAGGAGGAATCGGAATGTGTGGCTAATTGCCTCCATGAACAGCTGCCTTTGCCAGGAGAGCAGAAGAACTGGATGGTGCCCAGCTACCTTTACTGAAGGTTTTGATCAAAGATTCTATAGAAGGATCCTGATCAAAAAAGGGAAAATGTGAAACAGAATTCCAAATTCTCATGGAATTCAGAGTTTCTGGAGCCATTGAGACTGGAGGAACCCCTTCAACTATTGCCCTGAGATAATCTTTAAACCTTAAACAAAAAAAACCCCGTGAAGTCTTCTTTAAACCTAACATTTAGTTTAACTTAATTAGTAAAAATGTCTGCTTTGAGCATTGTGCTCTTTTAAGAACTATCTATATGGGATCAAACTGACAACAACAACTCAAAATATTAGATAGGAACCTTAGGGAGCAGTGAGTTTATATTAATGGCAGAGGAATAACTCAGAAAAGGAGGGTGAGGATGGTAACATAACTTGAAGAATGTAATCAATGTCACTGAATTGTACATGTAGAAATTGTTGAATTAGTGTATGTTCCGTTGTGTATATTCTTAACAACAACAAAAATAAAATAAATTATTAAAAAAAAATCTAAACATTCATCATTGGGGGAATGGGCAAATAGAAAGCAATTTATCCATACAATAGAATACCATACAGTAGTTTAAAAAATAAAGTAAATCTAGTTACTCCAAGACATACATTTATCTTAACAACATATACCCACAATATTCTAGTGTCTGTAGGCACACAGGTATGGGTGTTTCCTCCCTCCCTGGCTTTATTTAGTCAGGGGCTCTAAAGGAAGGTCACAGCCCCTCCTTAGACAAAGCCTTTAGTTTCTCCCAAGCCAGATTGCCCCACGTCAAAGAGGCCTGGCCTCCCCTTACCTTCATCCCAAAGGATTGCATCCGTGTGGCTACCTCTCTCCCAATTCTGCCTAGGCCAAGAATTCCCAGGGTCTTTCCATTTAGCTCTGTCCCCATGAACTGCAATCAAACAGGCAAAAGGCAAAGAAGCCCAAGTCAGCACCAAGAGTGAACCTTGGGCAGCAGGCCCACGTACGGTGAGGCAAGGCTAGCTGCTCACCTTCTTCCGGTCCCACTTGCCATTCTTCATTGAAGCTGTTGCCTGGGGAATCTGCCTGCAAGAAACACACAGGTTCAGTGGGCCCTCCCAAGACCCCCATGCAGCCTTGGAAGTAGGAGGAACATCAGTCTGCACCCCTACTGTCTGACACTCATCCCCCTGGGGTACCTAGCTCAATCTGGATCTGGGGGCTCAGGTTCGGAAACATCAAAGGGGGTAAAGGGAGTGTAGGAGGGAAACCATTAGCAGGACCTGACTTAGGAGCCCTGAGATTTCTGTCTCCAGCAAGGAGTCTGGGAGGAGGTTCTTGTTCCACCTCAGCCACTGAAATATCAATCAGTGACTCTGGGTAAGTTTTCCCCTCTAAGCAACAGCCAGTCTTTCAGGCTTTGTAGGGATAACTGAATGGGGTGTTAGGGAACTTTGATGACATCAACTCCTCCAGAAATGTAAGGAATTATTTTCATCTTCCTAAACCATCCAGGTCATCTTATTACTTTATCTTCTACTGTACAAGAAGATAACTGATTTGTTATTCTTCCTTTAAAGTTTCTTAAATCCTAAGACTCTCAGGCTAGTCTGGGGAGGGCAAGTACCAAAGTCCAGATGGTTCCATTCTGCCCTGACTCCTTGTCCCATCACATCTAACATCCACACTGCCCTCCTGCCCCACCACCACATACACACACACTTCAGTCTGTCTCCTATTGGTTAACATGAAGGTTGTGATCGTCATACACGTTTTCAGGAGGGAACAAAGGAAGTGGCAGTCAAGGCAAAGTTAGAGGTCAAAGGGTAAGATAAATCATGTGGGACATGGGTCATCATGGAGGCTTCTCTGGAGGCAAAGAAAGAAGAGAGGAGAGACCAATGTTTAAAGAGTAAATATCCACCCACATCTAGCCTCCTGAATATTTAAATGCAGGCTTTCTTGCTGGCCAACAAATTCAGAGTGGGTGTGTTTGTGTCTGTGTATAAAAATAGACATTCCAAGATACTGTTCCCATATTTTCATAAAACAGTGTCTTGGAATATACCAATTTAGCAATTTCTACATGTACAATTCAGTGGCATTGATTACTTTCTTCACATTGTACAATCATTCTCACCCTTCTTTTTCTAATTATTTTCCCCATTAACATAAACTCACTGACCCCAAGTTTCCTACTTACTCTTTCAAGTTGTTGTCAGTTTGATCCCATATACCTGTTACTGTCGATTCTGACTCATAGTGACCCTACAGAACAGAGTAAAACTGTCCCATAGGGTTTCCAAGGAGTGGCTGGTGGATTTGAACAGCTGACCTTTTGGTTAACAGCCGAGCTCTTAACCACTGTGCCACCAGGGCTCCTTGATTCCATATAGATAGTTCTTAAAAGAGCATAATGCTCAAGGCAGACATTCTTTACTAGTTAAGCTAAACTATTGTTTGGTTTTAAGAAGACTTCAGGGGATATTTTTGGTTTAACCCTTATACTCTTGAAATATTTTATGTTTGTGATTTTTTTGGTGATGTAATGTTTTTTCACTAATGGAATGCACACTGAATCATTGAGTATTGGTAATTTTTTGTTATATAAGATGGATTTTTATTAATATTATATGTACCAGGTTTAAAGACTATCTCAGGGCAATAGTTTCAGAGATTCATCCAGATTCCATGGCTCCAGTAAGTCTGGAGTCCATGACAATTGGAAATTCTGTTCCACACTTTCCCCCTTTTGATCAGGATTTTTTAATAGAATCTTCGATTAAAATGTTCAGTAGTGGTAGTTGAGCAGCATCCAGTTCTGGTCTCATGGCAAAGAGGGCAGTTGTTCATGAAGGCAATTACCCTCACACATTCCATTTCCTCTTCCTATTCCTTACTCTCCTTCCTCTGTTGCTCCAGGCAAATAAGGTAGCCCCTGACTTTTGACATATTTAAGTTACTATGAACCACACTTATCTACATACAACGTTGCAGCACTTAATTTGCTGATTTATTCATTCTCAGATATTCACTCACAGATGTTCAATGTTATGATTTATAGATACTGATAATAAAAGGCAATAATAATGAAAACTAAAAAAAAAAAAAACCGAGGTATTTGATTTATGTCAGAATGGGATCCCATCGTAAGTCAGGGACTAGCTACAGAGACAAACTGTCATGCCTTGGATGGCCATTTGCAAGCTTTTAAGACCCCAGGCACTAAGTAAAGAACTAGCGGGTAGAACAGAAGTACCAAACACATCATCAGGCCAATTAACTGCGATGTCCCATGAAACCATGACCCTAAACCTCCAAACCAAGGAACCAAATCCCATGAGGTGTTTGGTTGTTCATAAGCAGCCTCAGCAGCTGCTCTTTTTTATTGTCGTTGCCATTTCCCTTCTTTATGAGTCATTGTTTTCTCCAGCCTCCTAGAATCTTAGCACTCCAGAAACTAACGCTATCTGTTCAAAGTCCCCCATTGTAAGGCCCATTCTGACCTGTTCTCCATCCACATTGCCCAATGCTCTAAACTTCAGAGTCTAAAGCATTCGTTTCCTCCTATTGCTTCCCAGCTAGGAAAGCAATCTGATTAAACTAACACACAATAAGTTGTGACAGACTGGTAATTCCTTCTTAATAGGGTGCTTACTTCCTAAGTTTTAATACATCTTTCCTGAGTAGGGTCATAGATGGGTGGATGGGAGCAGGGAGTTTTTTTAAACCACACCACTTCGCCCACTTTAAATAAAGCTGGTCCTGGAATAGGAGAAAGATTATTCGTGGCTACCAAACCTTTCCTTCCACCTCCAGAACAAAGTAATAGAATTAATTAGCTAGAAAGCTGCACTGGTATCCTTTCCCCATACTCAAAAAAATAAAACATCACTGAACTTATAACTCAAATGAAACCATGACACTAGGTCTCTACACTTCTCCAGGCTGAGACACACCCAGCCCCGATGTTCCAGATATACTCCAGAAGACCAGCTCAAGGTCCCCCTCAAGGCTGAGTTCCTTCTGCTATGCAAGTTGTCTTTTCCTCCCTTTCCCCAAACTCCCCTCTCCTTCACTGGTGGGTGAATATCATATTGAGGCAACCAGGGTCTGACACCTCAGGCAGAAATCCTGGCGAAAAGTTAGAACAAAGTTTAATTTAAATCCTTCCCCAGCGGGAGGAAGAACTGGTCTTGAGTTGGGGAACAAAGGATAATTTCCTTGGTCCCAGGAGGTTTCAGGCATGAAAAGTAAGGATTCTTGGCTGCCTAGAGCCCCCTGATTTAAGGATCCAAGGATCTTAGAAGGGACCTTCCTACTCTGCCCACTGGCTTCTTACCCTTCCATTGACCACAGAAATGCTCGAATTGCCTGTTCAACGGTAGTCCTCAATACGATCCTTTTGGCCAAATTAGTAGCCAGTACCAAAAGACTTATGCACATTATGTGTCAAGTTCATTTGGTTCCTAGGCTCTCCCACCCCCTATTCAACAGACCCACTCTTAAAGTTCAGTTAGCCCTTCACACCCCAGAACTCCTGTTGGAACAGTAAGACACTTGACCATTTGAGTCCCCTTGTGTTATCAATCCATGGGTAGACACAGGGATCCCGGGCAGCTTTTTGTTCCTTTGTACTACAATTCAGATTTGTAAGAACGGTGATAGAGGTATGGGGGTCACAAGAATCAGTGGGGGACATAGCTTCCTAAGTGAAATAACACTCGAGCTTAATCTTGAAGAACAAGCTCAGGTTGCCTAGACAAAGACAACAGGAAAGGATGTTCCAGGCAGCGGAAAAAGTGTTTGCAAGGCTTGGAGGCTAGAGAAGGCATGGTATGCCCAGAAACCTACTGCTATGGTGGTGTGTAGGATGGGCGTGGAAAGTGGAAGATGAGTAAGGAGAAACAGGAAGGGTTCAGATCAAGTCACGGAAACAATTATTTTCAAAATAAGCCTGGCCCTGGGTAATGAGAAGCAGACCTGTATCTCCTCCTCCTCTCCCCATCTGCAATCACTGGAACCTGAGAAGCCACTAACCTCTGTATGTTGGAGGAACCAGTATAATGAATGTTCAGCAGAAGGACTAACAGCCTCAAAGGTTCTCAGCAGTCTGAGCATTGCCAAGCTAAAATATTTCTATGCTTCTCTGGGTCCATTTGCTTGGCCAGCCGTGAGACACTCGAGAGACTGGCTTTGCTGAGAAGTCAGGGACTTACCTGGCCAGGCACATGATCATTCCACAGGTGAGCTCTGCAGCACTGAGGCTGTTCCCATTGGGGGTGCTACAGACCAAAGACAAGAGGGGACATCAGCGCACCCAGACACAGGACTCCAACTCTTGTCCCAAGAGAAATCCTCAAGTACACACTATATTACCTCTCTTGCTCCATGAGCTTACCTGTTCTTAGCACAAATCCCCAACCCATGTCACACACCAGATTCTCTGACGTATTTCTACCCAAATGTCAGGGCTGGAAGGAAACCTTCTCTGCCCTGGCTTCATGTTTCCATGTGGAGGAGACGCCATTAGAAAAACATGCCTGGCCTCTCTGTACTCAAATGTACTCTCTTCTCCCCAAGACAGAGAGGTGTCTCATGAAATTGGGAGATTCATGTGCGGCTCAGCCCTTGTAGCTATGCTCTCATTTCGGGATCTATCTAGAGAAAGCTCATGTTCCTTGCAGCTCCATGCCATCAATCTTACTAAGCCTGCACCCATGATGGGTGGGTTGTTATTGTTGCTCATAGTGACCCCATGTCACAAAGTAGAACTGCCCTATAGGGTTTTCTAGGCTGTAAAAACTTGACAAGAGCAGATCGCCAAGTTTTTCTCCTGTGGAGCTGCTGGGTAGGTTCAAACCACAAACCTTTTGGTTAGCAGCTGCACTCTTAACCATTGCACCATCAGGACTCTTTTCGATGGGTGGGTAAGTCTATCTAATTCAGAGGTAAGCCCACTGCTCACAGACCTACATCAAATTACCCAACTTGGCTTTTATTAGTAATAGAGCTGCTATTTTGATCTCCAACTATTTAACATCTCCACTCTCTCAACAAGTTATGAACTGAGAAAAGTGTTATTTACTAGCCTCCTCACACCCCAACACCCAGGACAATGGTGACTCTGCCCATTTTACAGAAAGGAGAATAGAGGTGGCAACCCACAAAGTCTTATTACTGGAAGAATTTAACACATATATTCACCCTCCTCCTTCCCCTACTACGTCTTTTCGTCTCTAGAAATGAAGGTTACAAGGAGAAAAAGTCAATAAGAGATCCCATAAAAGACATAAAAGGATTCTCAAAGTCTGTTTTCCCATAAGACCACCTGGCTTCCTGTTCTCCCCCGGCCAGCAGGCTGTGCAGGGAGGCGTGTAGAGGTGCAGGGTCTAGGGGCTGGCTATGTCCAGGGCAAGAATGGGTTATCGTTTAACATTTCTCTTGTTAGTTATTGACCTGAGGCAAATGACTGCTCAGTTAACCTCTGCCCTACAGGGGCATGTGGAGGGGGCTGGGGATAGCACTGCTGCACCGTCAAGGTGCCAGAACAGAAGCCAGAAATGAGGCGGACTCAACATTGGCATGCTGCATAACCTTTGCTCTGGGTTTCTGCAAAAGCAGTTCTAAAGGGGACCCTTTTCCTCTTGCACAATGAGTAGAGAAAGAGACAGGTGGCAGCTGGGCTCCAGAAGTGTGCAGGGAAGTGAGGAAGAGAAAGAATGTAGACTCACGGTACCTGCAGTGGTTGTATGTACATGCAAGGTGGAATAGAGCAGAGCTCATAAAAACCTGACTACAAACGGAACAAGAAGAGGTGGAGGGACAGAGCTGGAGCAGGGAATGCAGTTAAATTCACTAACATGCTTCTGATTCCCCCGCCAGACTGCAGATGTGCAAACTGTACATGGGGTGGTGTGTGAACCTTTTGAGATCACAAAGAGCCTCTACTTCAAATGGTTGGGAACCCCTGAGTGCTAAGCATTGATCGAAAGTCTGAACTCAGGGGCCGAGACCAAGTGTCCCCCAGCAGGTCTTCTAAGTCTGATTTGGCTTTCTCTCAGTCTATCTCCACACCAACCCTTTAGCCTCCACAACTTACTTCATGACCAGAACACCCTTCCTTGTCGCAGCCTCCAGATCCACGTTGTCCACGCCTGTGCCAGCCCTGCCCACCACCTGGAGCTTCTCTGCTGCATTGATGACATCAGCAGTCACCTTAGTGGCTGAGCGGATGATAAGGCCTTCACAGTCCTGAGGCAGGAGGAAAAACACCAGGGTTCACAAAGTTGGTCTGAGGGGCCTCCTAAAAACTCAGGCACATCGTCACTTACTCCCTAACAAGCAAGTCATTCACCTCGTTCCCCATTGCCATCCAATCAATTCTGACTCATGCTGACCCCATGTGACAGAGTAGAACTACTCCATAGGGTTTTCTTGGCTGCAATATTAATGGAAGAAGCAGATCACTAGGCCTTTCTTCTGTGGAGCCACCAGGGGGTTTGAACCACCAACCTCTAGGTTAGTAGTTGAGCACAAACTTTTGCACCACCTAGAGACCTTGATTTATTCCCAGACCCACACAAAGACTGTGATTACTGCTTGCTCACAGACTTCTTTGACATCTTCACTACAAATTGCAGAGAAATGTGGAGTAGGACTCATGTCATCTTCATTGAGAGTTCAGGAGATTGTAGCTCTAAGACCAAAAAAACCAGTTGCCATTGAGTTGATTCCAACTCATGGTGACCCCATGTGTGGCAGAGTAGAGCTGGGCTCCACAGGGTTTTCAATGGCTGATTTTTTGAAGGTAGAGCACCAGGCCTTTCTTCCAAGGCACCTTTGGGTGGAACTCCAAACTCCAACCTTTCAGTTACCAGCCAAGTGCGATAACCATTTGCACCACTTAGGGACTCCAGAGCTCTAAGACACCGAGTGCTTTACCTGACACTCTCCACATGTGGCAGCATCAGCTCTTGGGCTCTGGACTCCTGGCCCATCTCTTTCTAGACAGCACCACAATACCTGCCACCTTTGGGAGCACCCTAGGACCAGCTGGAGTGCAGTCTCTCCTTGATGTACCCTCAGCGCGTCCAGCAGACACACACTGGAAGTCAGGAACCATTTCCTATTCATCCTGTAACTCCTGCATACTGCTCTGCCCAAAGTGGGAGTTCCTGGATGCTGGCTGAATTTGAATATATTCAAGGAAAGGAAGGCAAATTGTTGTTGTAGGCACCTTCTTACAGGCTTTGCCATCAGTGGGGCCTGGGTTCGAATCCAAGCTCCAACCCTCACTAGCTATGAGCCTAGTTATAAATTTGAGCGTCAGCTTCTTCTTCCAGTGTGTAAGGAGGAAGTGAGATAGGACAGGTGAGCATCTGCCTCGAGATCTGGACCTGTTCAACAAACATCACTTCCTCCCCTAGACACTGAGCTCCTGAAGGGGAGAGGCAGATATAATTCTTTGATGGCCCCTATGTCTGGCACATGGAAGGCACTCAGTAAGTTAGTTGGCTGAATGTATAAAAGAAGTGAATGAAAGACACAATGGTAGTAAGAAAAACATTTCCTAAAGTAGAGAAAAAAGTAAGGTGTAGAAGGGAGAGAACAATTAAACTGGTATCTACTTGCTCAGAAACCCAGGCAATATTAGACTACAAAGATACACATGTGAAAAATAAGACTTTTTAAATCCATCATAGACACTTCACTTGAGCGAGCTATACCCCAATATAGTCTTCTTTAGGCTCATACAGAATCTTCTGATATCTTCCCACAATAAGGTTATTCTTTCCCTAACACCACATGAGAATCACCGAGATATTCAGCAGATGAACGAGTTCATACTCTACCCCAAACCTGCTGCCCCAGGTTGGTGAACAAGCAGCAAATGTTGATGTAAAATCACCAAGCTAGGAATCCCAAGGCCAGGGTTCTAGTCCTAGGTCTGCCAAGGACAGGTTGGGTCACTGTGGGCAAGTCACAGCACTCCCTACCCCTGGTCTCCATCTGCAAAAGGAGAGGGTTGGAGCAGATGGCCTGCAGGTCCCTGGCAGATCTAATCTGACACCCACCAGTGCAAGCCTCTGCATTTTCCCCAGTGGAGCGCTCAGCTGGATCCCACAAGAACCTTCTCTCTTCCCTCCGCACTGCATGGATTCTAGAAATGGAAAAAGGCCATGGGAACCCAGCTCCTAGGGTGAGGGCCCACACCATATTATCGTGCGCAAGCAGGGCCTAGAAGCAAGTTTGAACAGGCAGAGTCAAATATAGAGCACCTCCTACCAGAGAAGCAGGGAGAAATTCACCTCTGCTGAGGGAAGAAGGGGAATGAAGCTTATGCTGAAGCACAGAATATTTAAGTCTTAATGGGTTCTAAACACTGGAGTGGTCATTCGAGAGAGGGTGCAGAATTATTTCTCAGGAGGTGTTTAGAAGCTGGTTTCATGCCTCCTCACTGGTTGGGGTCTATGCCTGATCTCAGAGAGCTAGATGTAGGAGCCCTCGAGGGTATTCCAAGCCCTTTTACATCTGTTTCATATTTAGTTATACTCTCTCTGAACTGCAGTTTTGTCTCCTCAGCTATATTTTATGTTCCTAAGGCAAGGATTGGAGCCCTGGTGGTGCAATGGGTAAGAGTTCGGCTGCTAACCAAAAGGCTGGCAGTTCGAATCCACCAGCCACTCCTTGGAATCCCTATGAGGCAGCTGTACTCTGCCCTACAGGGTCGCTATAGTCGGAATCCACTCCATGGCAACAGATTTGTTTTTTTTTTTAGGCAAGGATTGTGCATGAAAACGTTTCCTCTCTCTGTATCCTTTACTGTTTCTCCACAGTATCAATCTCACCAACCTGTGCACATAAAGAGTTTATTGCACACTTTGTAGATGCCAGGCATTACACCAGGTGCTTTACATTATCGTCCCCACGACCCGAGAAGGGATATAATTATCCCCATTTTCCAGATGAAAAAAGGGAGTTTTCAACACTTAACCTGCCCGAGGTCACTCTTAAAGATTGAAAACCAGTCCAAGAACTGGGAAATTATTGCCATTGGCAAACTCTGAGCCTGTAACTAAGGAAGAGCTGGAGGGCCCGCCAAGATGTCAAAATGACGAGGCCAGAGCCAAGGTCCTAGTCAGTTACATTCAGAAACCTTAGAGGGCTCCAATTACTTTGTGTTAGGCACTGTGCTTCACAACAATCCTAAAAGACCGGTGTAATTGCCTCCATGTTACAGAAAAGGAAACTGGCCCTAAAGAGAAATTTTGGTAACTAGCTAAAGTCACAGAGCTAGGATGTGTCAGAAGTGGAATTGAACTCAAATGTGTTTAGTTCCAAAGTCTTAACTACCTACTGCTTCTACAAGAGGGTGCTCCTCCCTGCCCAGCCTGCCTGTTGAGGGAGGACAGAAACACGCACAAATGCCTCTGTACCTAAAAAGGCAAGCTGCCTCTGGAGCATAGACTAGCACAGCACATAGCTAATACTCAACAGAATATTCCCTTGAATGAATGAATTTAGTAATTTGAAAGGCCCATGGAACCCAACCCTCTCCATCTTCTTCCCCTAATAAAGCATGTCACATGACATGCCTGAAAATCCACCATTAGAAATCCTTTACCTTATCTACATGAGAGTGCTCATGAATTTTCCAGAATTTTTTGAAAAAGGAGAGCAAGTTGGGAGGGAGTCAGGGGAAGCAAGTTCTGAAATTGAAAAATTAATTGAGAGAATCTGTCTTAGTTTCTGAGTGCTGTTTTAAGAGAAATACTCCAAGTGGGTGGCTTTAAGGAACAGAAATTTCTTTTCTCACAATTCAGGAGGCTATTAAGTCCAAATTATGGGTACTGGCTCTAGGGGAAGGCGCTCTTTCTGTTGGCTCTGGGGAAAAATACTTGTCTCAGCTTCTGTAACCTCGGTTCCTCGGTTATCTCTACGTGTCATCTATCTTTCCCCCATTCGTGCTCTGCTACCTTCCATACCTAATCTTCTTTTTACATCTCAAAAAGTTTAAGACACACCCTACACTGATATGGGCTAATTAACATAAGAAAAAAACACCTTATTTCCAAACAGGATTATATCTACAGGTATAGGCGTTAGGATTCCAACACATATTTTGGGGTGGGGGGACACAATTCAACCCATAACAGAACCAAACAGGCACTAGCCAAACAGACCCATGTACATGTGGGGATTAGAAAATGATAAAGGTAGAAAGATTGAATTGATGGGGAAAGGAAAAACTATACAATAAACGGTTTTTGGAAAATTTAGGGGGAAAAAACATATCTAGATCCCTATTTCACTTCAGATTTTTTAAAAAACAGATGGATTCAATATTTAAAAAAATAGACATATTAGAAGAGAATGTAAGGGGATATTTTTATGATCCTAAAGCTGGGAAGCCTTTCATAGGCGGGGCACAAATCCCAGAAACCATAATAGGAAATAATAGCAAATTTAGTTACATTCAAAATTTAAATCCCTGTATGGAAAAAGGGCCCATAAACAAAGTTAAGGGGCAAGTGACAGGTTAGGTTTGATATGAAGAGACAAATCCTTGCAACATATACAACAAAAAAAAGATTCATATCCAAAATATGTTTATCAAGTCTTCCAACATTTCCTAAAATGATAAAGAACACAATAAAAATATAGTAAAAGTAACCAAACCCATTGCTGTTGAGTCAATTCCGATTCACAGCAACCCTATAGGACACAGTAGAACTTCCCCACAGGATTTCCAAGGAGCCCTGGTGGTGCAGCGGTGAAGAGCTCAGGCTGCTAACCAAGAGATTAGCAGTTCGAATCCACCAGCCACTCCTTGGAAACCCTATGGGGCAGTTCTACTCTGTCCTGTAGGGTGGCTATGAGTCGGAATTGACTCAACAGCAATGGGTAGGTAGGTAGGTAATCTTTACGGAAGCATACTGCCACATCTTTCTCCTGCAGAGTGGCTAGTGGGTTGGAACAGCCAACCTTTCGGTTATCAGCCGAGCATTTAACCGCTCCACCACCAGGGCTTCTTATAGAAATAGGCAATACACAGAAGAACTACAAAGTGGCCAGTAATTTACAGAAAAGACTCCTAAACACTAGCTATCAAGAAAACGTTTTCAGGCATCATATTGGCTAAAAAAATTGATAATATTCAGTGCTGGCGAGAGTGCGAGGAAAAAAGGATTATAAATCACATCATCTTTTTGGAGGACAATTTGGCAGCATATAAGCACATTGTAACATGCATTCCTTCACAACCAGCAATGACACTTTAGTTAATTAGTAACATGCTGAGGAAATAAAACCTCCTTCGAAGTGATCAGCCCAGGACTAAGGGTCAAAGTTCAACTGACAAGAAGAGGATGTGGACCATGGAGTCCTAATCTCATCACCTTGATCCAGTTCCTCTGGGCCCCGGGCTGCTCTGGATCCTCTACCTTCCCAATCACCCAATCATTCCCACAGAAAAGACTGCAGGCCTCCAGAATTCCACCCATCCTTGCAGCACAGAAACAACACTTAAAAAAAAAAAAAGAAAAAAAAAAGCAGACTCTCTTATCTATAGAAGGATCTCCCGTACAGAAATTTTACTGTCCAAACCAAAATCGTCCCATTACCATCAAGTCCATACCAACCCATTAAGATCCAATAGGACACAGTGAACTGCCCCATATGGTTTCCAAGGCTGTAATCTTTACCAAAGCAGACTGCCACATCTTTCTCCTGCACAGAGGCTGGTTGATCTGAACCACTAATCTTTCCGTAGCAGCCAAGCACTTAACCACTGCGCCACCAGGGCTCCTTATTTACCCTGTAGTCACTCTTTCCTTTTCCCTCAAGGGTGGTGTCTCTCAAACCAGCTTTCTTTGAAACCTGGAAGTCCGAAGAGTCTCCAATCACAGCAGAGAAGATGCCCATTTAAAACTTGCCTGTCTCAAGCAGGAATCTGCCTTGGGAGACACCACTCACCAGGTCCCACAAATAGAACTGGGCATCCCACATTGATCAGTTAACTAGCTTTCAAGGTCTCTTACAATCTCAACTACCCCTTCTATCCATTCATTCAGTCAACACATATTTATTGAGAGACTGTCTGCCAACCTATCTCCCACTGAGCCCTCAAACTTCTGCCCTCTCAGGCACTGTCCCTTCAAAGGCCATACATAACTCAACCTTCTACAACTTTGCTCTGTGAGCCTTCCCCAGTCCTCTACCTATGCAAACAATGACCTTTTTCAAATGCTCACATCCTCCATGAAGTTTACTGTGATTATAACCATCTGTCAGTTGGTCACACTATGGAGGTCTGCGTGTTGTGTTGCTGTGATGCTGGAAGCTACACCACCAGTATTTCAAATACCAGCAGGGTCACCATTGATGGGCAGGTTTCAGTAGAGCTTCCAGACTAAGACAGACTGTGAAGAAAGGCCTGGTGATCTACTTCCAAAAATTAGCCAATGAAATCCTTTGGATTACAACAGAATACTGTCTGATATAGTGCTAGAAGGTGAGCCTGCTAGGTTGGAAGGCACTCAAAATACACAGTGACCACAACAACTGACTTAAAAATACCAGTGATCACGAAGATTGTGCAGAACTGGCAATGTTTCATTCTGTTATGCACGCCACCTTGATGGCAACTAACTTTCTTCTCCGGCATCCCAAGATCCTCTCCTTCTCCTGGGCACTCCATGGGCAGGAATATTCTGTTGCTTACTGTTCTCTGCATGTTGGTTTGTGTCCTAGCCCAGGAGCTCTACAGGAACTCCCTACACTTTTGTGTCCTTCCTGGTTCCCCTGCCCCTCAGCTGCCCAGAGCTGGAAAACAGCAGGCCACTGTTCTGCTCGATTTACAGCTGTTCCTGACAAACTAAGCTAACTCAGCAGTAGAAATCCACTTAGGTTCCTCAAGTTCACACATGCTTTCTTTCCCAAGGATAATAGGCTTGGCCTTGGGGTAATTCTAACATTGCTGTGCCACTGACTTGAATTATAGGGGAACTCAATGAGAAGACAGCTATGCCCTATTTTGCAGAACATCCTGATTAACTGGGTGGTTAACTTTTGCAAACTAAATCCTAGTGTAAAAGTGCTGTTTAAAAAGAGTCTTTCAAAAGACGGACTCTTGCATGGAAATGTATTCCTTTCTTTATCTTTCTTAAAATTCTGAGATAAAGATACAAGTATCCTTCAATAAGTTAAATGCATTACCATTATTTAATTTAGTGAATCCTGACCAGCAATGCTATTTAATGAAACAGAATATATCAGAATGCATCATACGTAGATTAAGCTATTATTTCATGAAACTTTAGTGTGTGTGTATATATGTAAAACGTGCTTGTTTGTGTACACATGCATGTGTGTGCTGAGTTATGACATAAAGTGAATTTCTTATTGTGGGTCATGGTCAAAGTTTAAAAGACACTAATCAATAGTAAGATTATTTAAATCTGTTTTCCCACATATTAGGTTTATTTACGATGCAGCACCTGCTGATAAAGAGAGGTACATAACCTAAGATTTTTTTGAGTTCCAAAATGATGTTTTATTTTAAGCCAGTGTTTTTCAAATTTTAGACTGAGACTCACAGTAAGAAACATATTTTAAGTTGTGATACATATTAATATACCACACACACACCACTCAACCACATATATAATTGAAAGAAATTTCACAAAACAATACTTTGCCTTACTACCTTTATCGCTCTTGGATATTACCTATTTTGTTTTTTATAAACGCTGGTTATGACCTATTAAACGATTCCATTAACCACTAAAGAACTGTGACTTGCTCTAAGTCAGAAAAGCATCTTTCATGGGTACTGATTGTACTTTCTGACCATGGGGGGAAGAGGCGGAGCAAACTCTGCCTGCTCAGAATACAAAAGCATGAGAACTGAGGCCCCAGGCCAGTCCTAGTTCTAGCAATGATGCTAAAGCTTCCATAGTATTAAAAAAAATTTAATGGGGTAGGGGGAGGAAGGAGGCACTCCGGAGAATACCAAGGCATAATGTGAAAGTGAGAAGCCTTTAGTGGGCTGCTAAAGATTAACAGGTATTCTGAACCTAATGTTTTACAAAGACAAACAGAAAGGCAGAGCCAAACAGTCTACCAATGTCCAGCAGGCATAGTAGCCAATAAACAGCCCTCCTCTCCTGCCTGGAGTTTTCACTGATTTTAAAGAGTCCAAGTTTCAGTTCCAAGCTCCCAGTATTCACTTCATGGAAAACTTCCAAACAGGTGAGAGAACTATTCTGGCTGAATTCTGCCCTCACTCCTTCCCTGTCCCCAGCCCCTTTCTCCAGGGCCTAAGATTTCAAATTTCCATTAGAAAGCTGCAAAGCCCCTACTCATAGTCACTCTTCCCAACTTGCTGCCATAAGCGAGGGTCAGAAGCTGGCCTGCAGGCCACAGTAAAGCATTTCTGGTCATTTCTCAGAGCCAAGGCCACTGACACCATTCATTCGAGAAGGAAGGTAAGTAGCGTGAAGAGCCTTGCATACATCCAATCCTACCAGTGCTTCCAGGATCAGGTCTTGAAACGGTTGCCCACCAGGCCAGCCCATGATGGCACTCGCTTCTCTCTACACTTCCAGCAGGCAGAGGCAAGGCTGCTGAAGGTCTAATTTACCACTTAGGTACTGTGCCATCTCGTCATTCCATTGCTTCATGTGTGTTAGCCATGCTGCCTAACTAGACTACAAGCTTCTTGAAGGCTGAGTCCAGTCAGAGACCTCTGAGTACAAGACAGGGGCTGGAAAGCTGGATACAGCACCATGGTAGGTGGAGTCTGGGGTTTCATGGAGAAACAGCAGCAGACAGAAGGGCAGACAGGAGGGCACAGAAGTTTTGAGGGCCATTCCGTTGTGGCAAAGCTACCTCTGTGGGTTAAGGCAACCTGGTTAAGAGCACGACCAACGCCTTGAGTTGGAATCTACTACAAGGCAACCGGTTTGGTTTGGCTAAAACCCATAGCCATTGAGTTGATTCTGACTCACAGAGACCCTATATGGCAGAGTAGAACTGTCCCATATGGTTTCCAAGGAGCGGCTGGTGGATTGGAACTGCCGAAGTTTTAGTTAGCTGCTGAACTCTTTAACCACTGTGCAACCAGGGTGGGTATTCGCTGAGGCTGGAAGGAGGAGGCATTGCTGGGCGAGGCGAGAATGGGGGATGGGATAGGGTGGGGAAGTGCAGGAGCTAGAGTGCAAGGTTTACAAAATAAACGTCATTTTGGATAAAGCTACCAAACCTCGCAGGGCCTTTTCAAGCAAGGTAGATAAGATTTGAAGTAGATTATGCTCATTATGTATCACAACAAAAGGAGGTAAATTACTGAAAAATATTTGCTCGGAAAAACTTTCTGGGGGCGTTTGGGATTGACAGGATGCTAGTTAAGCCTTGTCATTCCAGATCAGCGATGAGACCGAAGGGACGCCCTCTGGCCTGGCCCGGGTAGGAGGCTGGGCCTGGACCCGAAGCGTGCAGCAGCCGCGTGGGTGGCGACTGCGTGGGCCGCGCGGGGATCTCACCGCGCCCCCTGCCCGCCCGGTTCCCTCAGAGCGCTCCCTGGAGGCCGAGGAGGAGGTGAAAGCTCGCAAGACTCTTGCATCAGATGAAAGGCGGGCACGGCGTTTGCTTCCCCAGCAGGGCCGCCTTCCCCTGCAGCTTCCTCAGCAGCCACGAGAAGGCTGGGACTCTGCCAGCATCCCCGCCCCCCTCAACCCCGGAAGGGTGAACTCGGTCGAGCGGGCCAGGACTTGATCCGGGAAGGGTCACCAGCCCCTGGGCTCCCTGGAGAAAGCCACTTTGGCGCCCCTCCCCCGGTGCCCCTGCCGCGCGTGGAGGAGAGGCAGCGCCCGGCTGCCAGGGCCACTGCGCGCAAAGGCGCTGGGGAGCCGCGCTGGCATCCCGCGAGCAGCCTCCAGGACCAGTTGGCGCAGCCTGCACTTTACAATGCCCGCGGGAGGTAAGCCAACGTGAAACACGTTGCGCCAAACTGAACGAAAAGTCTGCATCCTGCAGCCCGCCGCTGTTTGTTCCTCCCTTCCTCTTTCTCGTCCCTCCGAAGCCTCCAATTTCTGGAGGCCCGGGGACTGACTGATGGATACCGGGAAAAAGAGGGGGCGGAGGGATACTGGACCGGGCACGGCCACCAAAGTCGGCGGGGCATGGCTGGAGCCCGCGTCTTTTTCCACTCGCATTACCTGCAGCTCGGCTATCAGTTCCTCTTTACTCAGGTTCTGCTTCTCCACCACCTGCAGCCCTCCATCTTGCAAGATCTTCCTGCAGCAAGGGTCTAGGCTATCACTAATGAGTACTTTCCGTAGATTTGCAAAGGCCATTGCTGGAGTCGGCCTTGGAATCCGCTGCGCTCCCTTGACAGAAGAACAAAGCTGAGAAACTACTGCTGGGCCCAGAGAGCTCTTGTAACTGGCCAAGATTCTTGGTCTCCAGCTCGCGCTTTATCTCCCCGCCTCCTGCTACCACCTCCTTTCGATTGGACAGAAAAGCTCAAACTCTGGATGACTCCGCCTTCTCCTCGCGGTTCGAGCGTTACAGCTCACCGCCCATTTTATTGTTCTACCGAGATGAATCAATTTCTCAATCTCAGCCGAAGCCCTTCGCTACACCTGGTGCTCATATAAAAGCACAATTTACGCTGATTTAGCTGATTCACATCTGGAACAAACGAAAGAATATACTTTTGACCGTGAGAAAAATAGGTTTCATCTTTATTTTTCCCTTCCTAAAGGACTCATTAATTCCTTAACAAGCATTATTGAGCACAATTATTATGTGCAAGGCACTTTGCTAGATGCTGTAGAGGTAGCCTCCTTCCCTTCCTGGCCTAACACCCAAAAAACTCCTACAGACTCGCTATGAGTAGGAATCCAAGACTGTTATCTTTACCGAAGCAGACTGCCACATCTTTCTCCCTCAGAGCTGCTGATGGATTCAACCGCCAACCTTCGGGTTAGCAGCCAAACGCTTAACCACTGCACCACCAGGGCTCCTTGGCCTAACATCGAAGTGTATCAAACACACGGACACGGAAAACTAAATCGTTAAATGCAATTCAGAGCTATTTCTGAGATGCCACAAAGCAGCAAGCAATTACTTCTAAAAGGATAATACAATGAGTTTTAGAAAGCTAGGACCTGGGGCATTTCTAACACCCAGACTTTTTTGTTCAATTTCTGTATTCTCTTCCTTTTCCACTTCTCTAATTATAAAAAAGAAGAAAAGGAAAATTCGATATCAGCTATTGACCAAGGAGACACTTCCCAGCTCTTAAATCCTCTGTGCTTAAACCTCACAACAATGTGCTCTTCCATGCCCCATTTTATCAATTGGAAAATTCTGCTTTGGATTACTTAAAGTCACCTAGGATCTGAAGCCAGAGTCCCTGGGTGGTGCAAACAGTTAAAAGCTAGGCTGCTAACTGAAAGGTTGCAGGTTCCAGTCCACCCAGACGTGCGTTGGAAGATAGGCCTGGCGATCAGTCTACTTCTGGAAAATAAGCCACGGAAAACCCTATGGTGCCCAATTCTACTCTGACACACATGGAGTCACCATGAGTCCAAATCGACTCCAAGCCATCTAAAAAAAAAGAGAAAGGTTCCAAAGCAGAATCAGGGCTGCTCATTGTCAAATTAGAATTGAGCTTTATAGGCATATCCAGTCCCATTTAACCATTATGTCCGTTTGTGCTTTTCACGAAATTCAAATGCTGTATCCTTTTATCCTATAGACCTATGCAGTAACAATCCTACAAAGTTAGGAAAATTTTGGACTGATTATTTCTAGGCACCATAGCTTCCTAATCAGATTTTAGACCAAATCTCTCAATGGAAAAGAAGATAATTTGCCTATCCTATTTATCTGTTTGGATGAGTTATTATTCACACTTCCAGCATTCATGTGCGTTACATTTCTCTTTCTCTCAAGAGGTGCCCAACAGTCCTGGAAGTGCTACGGCAGACAGTAGACTTATCCCAGGAGGCTAAGGGAGGGGACTTAGAAGCACCCATTTTCGATACTATTTTTCTTGAACCCTTCACAGGATGGCCCCTGCTTTCACTCAATGTAGAATCCAAACCTTGCCATCTATAATATGTAATCCCATCCCTTTACATCAAGTCAAACTACATGGATATTTGAACTGAATCCAAAGGCCCTTCCATGCCTGATCATGCTGTGGATCGTTTTCTTTATTATTTATGCCCCACACACTTTCAAAATGATCCAGTTCACACAATGAGAGACACTTCTAAACATATTAGGAAAATATTAACAGGCAAGAGTCAAATAATTGTCTTGGGGGACATCTAGCTCAATTGGCATAGCATAGTTTATAAAGAAAATGTTCTACATCCTACTTTGGTGAGTAGTATCTGGGGTCTTAAAAGCTTGTAGCAGCCATCTAAGATACTCCACTGGTCCCACCCTGTCTGGAGCAAAGGAAAATGAAGAAAACCACAGACACAAGGGAAAGATTAGTTCAAAGGACTAATGGACCATGACTACCGCAGCTGCCACCAGACTGAATCCAGCACAGCTAGATGGTGCCCGGCTACTACCATCAACTTCTCTGACAGGGATCACAGTGGAGGGTCCCGGACAGAGCTGAAGATAAATGTAGAACAAAATTCTAACTCACAAAAAAAAAGACCAGACTTACTAGTCTGACAGAGACAGAAGAAATCCCAAGAGTATGGCTCTTGGATGCCTTTTTAATTCAGTACTGAAGTCACTCCTGAGGTTCACTCTTCAGCCAAAGATTAGACAGGGTCATAAAACAAAATGAGACTAAACGGGTACACCAGCCCAGGGGCAAGGATGAGAAGGCAGGAAAGGACAGGAAAGCTGGTAAGGGGGAACTCAGGGTCGAGAAGGGGAGAGTGTTGACATGTTGTGGGGTTGGCAACCAATGTCACAAAACAATATGTGTATTAATTGTTTAATGAGAAACTAGTTTGTTCTGTAAACCTTCATCTAAAGCACAATAAAAAATAAATAAATAAAATAATTTTTTAAAAAGTCCAATAATTTCCAGGTGGAAAGGAGAGTGTGTAATAACTTTTACCATAAAAAACTCTGAAGCGTTCCCTCCTCTTTTAAACTCCAAAAGCATTGATTGTCTTCAAGTTGTTGTTTGGTGCTTTGTGTAACATACATGTGAATATTGCATACCTCCTCCCCCCTACTGTCATTTCATTAAGATCAGAGATATGCCTTTATATCCCCCAGATGATATTGATGGTCCCTGGGTGGCACAAGTAGTTTGCAATCGGCTGCTAACCTAAAGGTTGGCAATTTGAACTCACCCAGTGGCTCTGTGGGAGAAAGGCCTGGTCAACTGCTTCTGTAAGAGATTACAGCCAAGAGAACCCTATGAAGCAGCTCTACTCTGTAACACCATGGAGTCACCATCAGTTAGACTTGATGGCAGTGGGTTTGTTTTTTTTTTTCCAATAGTGCCTAGCACAATGCTTTCCACATTATAGAAGCTCAAGAGGTTTCATTACAAAATTAATTTATTGAGCACCTACTATGAGCCAGGCACTGTGGCTTGATTTTTAGGGATAAGTTGATACGTAAGACAAAGACTCTTTCCTTAGAAAGAAAGAAACCCAGCAATCAAAGTATATCATAAGAATGTGCTGGAGGGCTTTGGGAGCAAAGAGGAGAACCACCTAGCACAACCTGGGGCACCAGGAAAGCTTACTAGCAAGGCTGCCTTTGAGCTGACCCTTTGACATTAATTGAAGGCAGCCACTCAGCAAGGCCCAGAGGGTACAAATATAAGTAGACTTAACCTGCCCTCAAGCCGCCTGAGATCAAGTACCTAATTTTGACAGCAGAATAGGAAGTAGCCAGGTGAAAAAGGCAGGACATTTACAAAGGCCCAGAGGGATGACTTCTCCACCAGCTGTAGGGGATAGCAGGGGGAGCTCAAGAGATCAGACTGCTACAGGGCCAGGGGCTGCTCTTGAAGGGCCTTGCCGGGCAAAGGAGTTTAAACATTACTCTAAAGACAGTACAGAGATGTTAAGCGATTTTTAGAAAGTGATATGATTAAATTTGCAGGCTGAGCTGAGAGGAAAATAATAATAATAAAAACAGTTGCCATGGAGTTCAACTACACTCCACAGTGTTTTCAAGACTATGACCTTTAGGAAGCAGATTGCCAGGACTTTCCTCCAAGGTGCCTCTGTGTGGGTTTGAACCACCAACCTTTCAGTTAGTAGTCCAGGTGCAGGTGGCTGAGCCTAAGGCACCCCCTCAATACTGCAAATGTAGATAATAATCCTCGCCACTCCCACCTCCCTGCAGCCTCCAACATCTAATTTTAAGATGAGGGTTTTTCTTTTATAATTGATTACAGGAGCAGGGGAGTTTTTCTCCTCCTGTGTTACTGCATCTATCCATAAAACAGGAGCTTTTTCCCTCTTTTGCCTTCTTGGAAGTATTAGCAGTAAGTCCCCCTATGCCTGCCCCCCACCCCTGGTAACCACTAATAAAGGCTGGTCTGTATACATTTGTCTTTTCTTGTCTTTTTATATAAGTGAGGTCATATAATATTTGTCCTTTTGTGACTAACTTATTTCACGCAGCATAATGACTTCAAGCTCCGTCCATATTGTAGCATGTATCAAGACTTCATTTCTCCTACTGGCTGAATAGTATTCCATTTTACGTTTGTACACTTTTTTTTTATCCATTCATCCATTGGTGGACATTCAGCTTGTTTCCACATTTTGGCTATTGTGAATACTGCTGCAATAAACATTGCTGTACAAGTCTCTGTTTGAGTCTCTTCTTTCAAGTGTTGGATCATGTGGTAGTTCTATCTTTAGTTTTTTGAGGAAGTGCCACTGTTTTTCCACAATGGCTGTACCATTTTGCATTCCCACCAGCAATGAATAAGTGTTCCAGTTTCCCCATATCCCCACCAACATTTGTTATTTCCTGGGTTTTTTGTTTGTTTGTTTGTTTGTTTGTTTGTTTGTTTAAATCTTAGCCATCCTAGGGGGAATGAGGAGCCCTGGTAGCACAGTGGTTAAAAACTAATCTGCTAACCAAAAGGTCAGCAGTTCGAATCCACCAACTGCTCCTGGAAACTCTAGCGGCCAGTTCTACCCTGTCCTATAGGGTATCTATGAGTCAGGATCAACTTGACGGCAACGGGTTTGGTTTTGGGTTTTTAGGCATGGTAAGGAGTCCTGGTAGAGTTGCTGAGTCAGAATCCACTCGACGGCCATGGGTTTGGTTTAGTTTGTTTAGGCATGGTAGGCACCCTGGTGGTGCAGTGGTTAAAAGCTTGCCTGCTAACCAAAAGGTCGGCAGTTCGAATCCACCAGCTGCTCCTTGGAAACACTATTGGACAATTCTACACTATCCTATAGGGTGGCTGCCAGTCGGAATCGACTCAACAGCAGCAGGTTTGGTTTGACTTCTTTTTTTAAGGCATGGTAACAAAATGCAAAATATCCATAAAAATAATATAAATATTTATTAAGCATTTTTAAGTCCTAGATAAGTATA